TTTACTGGCAGAAAGTACTTTCCGCCAGTAAACTTGCCAAATGTAAATTAGGCTTTAGAAAAACTATGAAATCATTGTTTAAACATTTGTTCACTATTATTATCGTGCCGTAACTCCGTCAGGAATAACATTATAATCCGTTTTTAGATCGAAAAAATCGGTCGCATGAGTGAAAATATCAACATTTTCGGAAATTGACCGCCATCTTGAATTCTGGACTTCCTGTTCAGATTTCGAGGTGCCAACATCGATATTCGTGTTCAGCAGGTCCAAATTAGTAAAAAACGCCTATTTGGCCAAATGTTGTCTGAAATGCCCCTAGAACCTGTTAAAACGCTGTTTTTTATAAAAGTGAACCAGTCTATATCGCTCGATGATGAAATCAGACAAATATAACCTAATGAGCATCGATTTTTTCGAATTACCAAAAAGCCGGATTTAAAATCTAATCATGCCAGCTTATAGGAAAGAAAGCGTCATTTATTTGCAGAACTCTCTTAAAATAGTCACAAGAAAATAAAAAAAATTAACGAATTTTGTTTTTTTCCAAATTATTCTGTCTGTTTCGGAAGCAAGTACCATATCGCTCCTTGCCTCATTTGTTATAAATGTTGCACTTTTCTACGGCTAGTTACACCCACACCGATTTTCGACGGTCGGTAAAAAACCGGCCGTCCAAAAATCGGTGGTGGTTTCGCAAAATTTCTTTTTTTCCGGATATCTTCGAAAGTAGTCGGAACTGCATTTTGAGATGCAACTTTGCCAAATTTAACGCTCGAAAACGGTTTTTGTAAGAAATTTAGTGAGATTTCATTTTGCAAATATAAGTGGTTATGAAAAAGTTGACACAGTTTTCAATTTTTTCATTTTTGTTACTGAAATACTTACTAAGAGCACTTGTAATGATTCCATCATGTTTTTGATTAGCAAAGTAGTGGAAAGCTACATTCACTAATTTCATTCAATATTGTTTAATAATTGTGCATTAATTATCGCACGCAATTTCACAAGGGCATCTAATTTTTGGAAAAAAAATCGAAAAAACACGCTTGTGGCAACAAAAATCCGAGTTGAAGACGATATATGATCCGATGTATGTACCTACTGGTCTTTTTGGGTTTGCGCCTTCAAAACACGAATTCATAAAAAATTTCTATGATTTTGGATTTTATGTATGTATGTATGTTTTTTTTTAAATTTAAATTGTACTGTCTCGGTGTTCTATGTCGGCCGTTATAATAGTTTATATAATTATAATTATATGTTTGTCATTCTTCCATACTTGAGTTTTAATCTGGTTTGTAATTGTTTGCTAATGGATTTCATTTTTGAGATTGCGTTCGTGCGTGTTCGTTGGATATGATCGTTCTTTTTTTTATTTATTTATCTTTATCTATGCATTTATGAAATGATAAACTCTTTTAAATCTACAAAAGTAATTACCGCTTTTGTACCTTGTTTTATTGTTGTGCAGTTAATTGCAATTGTTCAAGGTAAATTAAGTATACTGTAATTCGTTCGTCCGTCCGTTTTTGTCTGATTTTTTGTGTGAAGAAATTAACAAACTGAAGTAGGAAGTTTTAACGTGTTTGTCAGTTATTATGAAAAGTAGTAGGTATAAAGTCGATTTTGCGCACATGTACAGAATTTGTTATTTCTGCATCAGTGTTCGGAAAATGTGGCTCGTAAACTGTACTTATCATGTGAGCAAAAAACTGCACCAACATTTCTCAACGCGCAGTAAGACTACAGATAGAGGAACGGACAAACCACTGCAGGCAATATACCTACGAGCAAATTGTACTACTAAAATGGTCATTTTTTTTATGCCGACATTGCACACTTCGGAACGTTTATCTATCTTCAAACTACGATGCCTACTTTTAGTGATAAACTCTGCGGACATCCGGTCGGGCCCTCGTGTATTCTTTACTTGCAAAATAATCTGTCGATTCTTTTGACTTGATTTCGTTACGGAACTATGTCGCTAGTCTTCAATTCACGCTTTCATTGCGCTGAAATTATTTCGAGGAAGACATAATTCTACTACCGTTACTAACCGTAACGTAATGTTTGCCTAGCTAAATTATATATACGATTTTTTTACGGTTTTGTGGTTTTATTTTTGTGGAGCTCGTGCCTTGCTATATTACGATATGTCGCCAGGGATGGAGAATTCAAGATGTTGTAACAAAACGGAAATGCCGGTACGGGCGATGTCGTGAAATCGGTTGGTTTATCGCCAAAATTAATTTTTTGACAATTAAAACTCGTCAAAGTCAACATGAGGATAAAGTATGGAATTTGTTTCGCACTAGAAGATGCAAAGTGTATAAAAAATGGACGAAATGTGGCCTATATACTGTACGTACGTTTGATACAATCATTGAATAAAAATAGTGTTTTTATTCAATGATACAATGTAAGCTATGAATCATTTGCATATCTATACTTTTTCAATATATTATGCTGAACATATGCGGGGTGAATAAAAAAAAGAAATGTTTTTGACATATGGAATATTGCACAAAAAACCTGTATCACATCACCAATCATACGGATCATAAATATTGTTAAAAATGTTATTTCCGAATAGCGCACTATCACAGTAAAATTATACCATTGCGACGTTAAGTCATAAAAATTTTAAAACGATTGCAATATTTTTTCGCAAAAATTCAACCTCCACAAGTGTATATGTACCTAACCTGTGTAACGTCACGCTACTTACAAGTGCATGGGAGCCGTGAAAACACGATTTTGAACGTTTTTACTGTGCAATTAACTATGAAAACTAGTTCAACGTAAATTGGTCAATGGTGATACACTCATTTACTTAACGTGTAATTATGGCATTTGGGGGCGATTCGTGTAGTATAATTCTTTTCAATTAGCGACCGCTTGTTAAACACTTAGATTTTCTGGGGAATGTTAAAGGATATAAATGTGACTAACAAATTTCTAAATTGAAGGGGTTGAGTGATTTAGCATGTCATTGTTACGCGAGAAATGAATTTTGTATTGTTATTTCGTCGTAGGACGTAGGTACGAAATCGCCGGTGTTGCAAATTTTACATTTCAGTAGTAGGTATGTATGTACTGTACGTGTCTTTACAGACATACTACCATACGAAACATTGCAATACTAAAAAGTATCTTCCATTGTGAATAGAATCAGCGAATAACCGAAAATGTTTAAGATCTTATTTAAATTATAAAATGGATGATTGTAAGAGGAGAAATTTTGTAATATGAAAGAATAACGCCCAAACAAAATTTATTTTTCCACACGTATTCCGCCATTTCTGCACTAAACGGACACTTTCAAAAAAATTCTTTTGATGTCTCTTTAAAATAATCAGTACCAGCAACTTTTAGATCATCATCAGAAGCAAATATTGAACCTTGTAGCTAAGTGTTTTTTCAACGGGAAACGGTAGTAATCGCAGGGTGTAAATCCTGGACTAGAGGGTGGATATCTTAATTTCTGGAAGCTACATTCAGGTTTTGAGCCTCGTGAACCGTGCACATTATCGTGTTGCAGTATGGTCCTATTGGTAAAATTCTGATGTGTTTTCTCTCTATGGCAGCTTTAAAGTTTCTTTAATAGTCTCTTTATAAATTGCCCCGGTAATTGTGGTGTACCTACCTTTTGAAAACTCTGTACATGATAACTCGCGAACGGTTTCGAATTTTCCAATTCTGTTTTCTGTAATAGGTAGACAATGGTCAAGGGACTAACTGATTAAACTTTGGTCATTTGGACTTTCCGTTCGTCCGTCTGTGTTTTTGTCGCTCGTTGTTGGTTTGAACAGTTTATTTAAATAACCAACAACAATCCACCAAACAATTAGCACAAGTTTATCACTTATAGTCACGGTTTTTAATTACATCCTACTCCTAACACGTGCACTTGCGTAAGGTGAAGAATTAGTTTTTATTGTATCCGCATTGTTCAGAATGTTTCATATTTTTACATTCGAACAAAGCTACAAAGGTGGTGTTTATTTAGGAACGATAGTCATCAGGAATGTTTAATTTTCTACCGATAGATGCATCTGTAAGCGTAGGTATAATAAACTGTTTCAAACCAATATTCCAATGTAGACAATGATCGACAAACAGAGACGGGCAGATAGAACGTCCTAATGGCCAAAATTTAATCAGTTAGTCTCTTGACCAATCTATACCTATTACTGAAAACAAAATTGGAAAATTCAAAACCGTTCGCGAGTTACCATGTATAGATACAGACGGACGGACGTAAGTCCAAAATCATGAACGAGCTGGGTCACTCGTTAATAAAAAACAATAACTCTAGGAACCAGAGAAAAACTAAAAAAAACACTACTTAGAAGAATACCACCCAACAGATCCAGGAATATCTTTGACAAACATCCTACTGTATGAAAAGAGTTTACAGGAAACATATGATCTTATAAATAAAAGTAACGCCTGTAAACGTGTGCTTGGTTCGCACACCACATCCTCAGCTGACAAAAATTCGTATAGGCAATATTTAGGTACTCGGGCATTAACGCTCTAATAAGAAAAAAATGCCCGTCACATTTTGTGCATATAAAAAAACTAGAAATATTTTGTTTTATTTCCAATTATTCAGTCATTGAACAAAGTATTTAGGTCGCCCTTAATTTTTATATGAAATAGTGTGTGCGAGAGTGTGTGTGTGTGCGCTTCAAATATTTAAGATTTATTTACACTGTTTACGCCACCTCTACTACAACTACTTTTGTCTTCCTACCCTACTTCCTACTTATATTATTTACATCACATGTGTTCCAGAAAAGAAAATGTTAGTTCATTGGTTACTCTACACCTCGCTCTATAAGAAATTATAAGAAGTTTACTACCAACCAACTTACTTTGGATTTGTGGTCAGTGGTTACTTCTGTATGGTAAAATGGGGCATATATTTTTATAATAGCAACCACTAGTTTTCATATAATAATAGATAATCAAATTTAAGAGATAATCTCAAATTAAGGAAAATAGTGTGTTAATTCATTTCATATTTTACTAGTTTGATCATGTTTTTTATGTTCTCGTATTAAAAATAAGTTCATTCTTTTAATACCTTACAAAAAATGGAGCTTTCCATAAAAAAGTGACTATCTTAGACGTCTCGGTAGACGCACGCCTCTGTATATATTTTTTGGCCTTGTAGATTTACTTAAATTTTCAAATTACTTTCGCATAACTAACAAAAAATAACGGTTTTTTACATAAACTGGTGAAATTATTAAATTAATTACCACACTCGTATTCCCGAGGGGCGCGCAAACCTTTAATTATGGTGTACACTTTCCCTTTAAATACAACTTAATTGGATTGTTAATTACCCTTAAATACTTTAAATTGTTTAAATACTTTTAATTCTATTAATTATAGAATTAATTCTATTAATTATAGAATTTATTCTTTAAATGTTCTTTGAATACCTTTGAGTATCATTAAATAGTTTTAAATGCGTTTAAATACTTTTTCAATATTTCAATATGAAAAGAACTAACGAAGTTTTGCGTGAGCTAACGAAGTTTTGCGAAGACGTTGTTCGCCCCGAACGGCAAAAGTTTACTTCATTATTCGAAATTTCAGTGTACAAGCATAATCATAATAATAATTGCTCCGTACCCAATATCGATGGTGAATATATCGAGGAGAGCCCAAGCGACGAAGAGATGATGGAAGAACTCGTGGAAGAAGTTGTAGAAGAAACATCAGGTACCTAATAAACAACTTTTAAGCCTAATTTAACTTTTAATATTTTAGAAGATGATGGAACCAAGCAAATAGAGCAGCAAAGTAGTCAGTGTTTTGAAGACGAGTATGAAGATGATAAGGACCAAATAGATATTGACGACAATTTTCTTGTAAGCTTACCTGATTACATAAGAAATAATGAAGAAGTAATTTCAGAAAATAGTCAATATGTTGTCCTAAAGGGAAGTAACCTCGGAAGTAACAAAAAAGAAGTTAAAATTAAAAAATCTACATTGTTGTGGTTTTTAATCAACCCAGAAAGAAAGCTAAGTTCTGACAGAATACAAAGAGTAAGAGATGTAAAAACGAATGTTAGTTCAAGTTCGGGTGTAAAAGTTAGAAGCAATCGAACTAAGAAAAAAACAGTAACTATTAGCGAAACAGATACGGAAGATGAAGAAAGCTTTAAGTCAGGTTCATCCGATGACCAATGGGAAGAACAACATGACGACAACGATGATGATTTAGAAAGTACAAATGTATTAACAAATGGTGACTGGATTCTGGTAAAGTTGCCAGGCAAAAAATGTTTTAAGCACTTTATTGGACAGATTTTAAAAATTAATAAAAGTGAACTGACAATAAAGTTTTGTAAAAAATACTCTGATAATAAATTCAAATGGCCAGAGAAGGAAGATATTGCTGTTGTGAATAAGAAGGATGTAATCAAGCAGATTCCCCAACCAAATTTTAATTTTAAAAATAATCGTTTATTGTTTTTCACTTTTAATGTATCGTTTGCGGGATATAATGTTTACTAAAATGTAAGTTATGTAGATCACGATACTTAAAAAATGTTTCTATTTTAAATATTGCATGGTACAACGAAGCATGAAATAAGGTAATCCAATTTATTAAGCACATTTTGATGCCATAACTGTGGGATGAAGAATGTTTTACATTAAAGTTTTCAACACTTTGCGCACACTTTTGATGTTAAAAGGTAGTTACTTTCAAAGTTGTCGGTCAAAATCTCGGTCAAAATTGATGCCGTGTCTGGCGAAATGCCCTGTAATTGGTTTACCCTTGTTGTACTATGGTAATATTCCTTGAAGTTACAGATAGTGTATACCCTAGCATGTACATTTAAGTACATATTAAATCCATTTCAGTGACTTTTAATTATTTAAATACCTTTTAATTTCCTTAAATACGATTTAGTACTTTTCAATATCCTTTAAATACTTTGAATATCAGAAATAATTTTAAATTCTTATTAAATATTTAAATATTCTTTAAATATAATTTAATTACTTTAAATACAAATTTATTGTTTTAAATACCAGGATATTTAATTATGGTGTACGTTTTGCATTCTACTTGCGCACCCCTCGGGTATTCCTCACTTTGAGTTTTTCTCTTAAATGTGATTATGTAATATAATACGTTTTTTAAGCTGTTATATAAAAAAAGTGTCTCTTTAAGAATATTTAGTGCAAACTAATGGTGGCCATTCAAAAAATAAACCCCCCTTGACCGTACAAACTTACGCCACTGACCACAGATTTAAACTACGTAAGTAGATTGGTAGCAAACTTTTTATATTTTGGATACCATAAAAAACGTTGTTTTAAAGATATATTCAGTGTTCCAGAGAAAATGTTCACTTTGTATATAAACCTCTTCCGTTACTGAGTGACTGACAGACAACGCATAGCCGAAACTATTGAGCGTAGGTACAAAGGAGATCCCTAAGGGAATGGAAAAAAAACAGTTTTTTACGTTTTACAGTCGTAAGTGCGGAAGACTTTTGACATATAGAACTTGGGTTTCTTTGAAAGTGTGAAGGTGTACTCCGAAAGCACTTCCTGAAATTTTCACGGAAACGGAAAAAAAAACTGAATTAAGAGGGTAGGTAATGTTTATGCGCGTACGAACTGGCAAAAAGCTAGTTAGCAATAACATTATGCGGTAGCAGCTGGTTGGGAGCATAGTTGATAAACGTTGAAGGATAAACATTTATCAGTACTAAACTAAGTATGTATATCTTTTTGAGCGGAAAACTAACATTTCTTCATCGTTTTTTTTTTTTAATTTGTGCCGTTTAAGAAGTCTAATGTGACTAAACTAAATCTATGTAGAACCTGGAGATTTTTTTGGTAACCAACAAAACTAAACAATCTGATTAATCCACCCAGTGGTTAAATCGTCTTAGCAATTACCTAATAGGTTAGTCAGAGAGGGTATTGGACTACAGTATAAAAATGATCAAAGTCCTCGTGTGAGATCGAAGGGACTTCAGCGCATTTTTGTGGGGCAGATCAGTGTTTTATTAGCCAATATTGACTCCACCATCAATAAGATCTTGCCGAAAGCTACCACGTTCACTTTGTCGGTACCATTTTCTCACTTACCGTGCACTCGCAATTCGCGTTTGAAGTTTTGACTCCACCATCAGTAAGATCTCGTCGGGGGTTACCACATTCCCTTTGTCGATACACAGTTCCGACGTCCCGTTCATTCGTAATTCACATTTTGGTAGATTTCGCTAAAATCCCGGCATAAAATCGTATTCAACTTTTGGGTACTTCACATAGCTCGACCTTCTATTAGTGACACGAGAAAGAGAGACCGCGATTCGCGCTGTAAGAAACTTTTGGGCGCCCAAAGTCGACTACCCCTCGAAGCGCGCCGCGCAAAAGGTGGTTTATTTCGCCCCTAGGAAAAAAAACAAAATTCCGCCACGCAGGAGTTGTGCGCGTTGACAAGATCTTCCCGACGACACCAATTTGAAAACAATCGGAGAAAAACTGTAGAAGAAGATAGATAAAAACTGAAAAATCTCCAGGTTAGTATAATACGCTCGGGGATGGCGTCCAGATGTCGTCGACTCCAAATCTTGTAGCCCCATCCCTAACGTTCTTAATTACACGGCCCCGATAGTTACATGTACACTCCTTGTCTTTTTACAAGCGTTTTTCTACGGGCGCGCATTTACTGCCAGCCAGCCAGCCAGCCAGCCAGCCAAAGTGAGATTAAAAGCTACTTTTTACAAAAAAAATTTTTGCAAAAATGCGCTAAAAATTGTATCACATCTGCTAGCGCATTTTAATTTTTTTGTTATATCCCATATCTCAGTAATAAACGTGTAAACAAACATAGCAAACGAGCCCCGGTGTATGACTATAGCATGTGCAAAACAAAATTTTGAACGTGGTGGTAGATTTGCTTTTATCCCAAGTACCTATGTATAACATTTCATTTAAATTCGGTTGATAAATGGTCGAGATGCGAAAAGGGCACTGTGAATGTTGAATCGATTAGACTTAACTTTTGCCATTGCGTATTATATGGGTAAATCTATGACCATATTGAATTTCATTAATTCGGTTCATAACTAACGGAGATGTCCTTACATTACATTGCCAATTCACGAACTCCGATCTGCAAATTTGATAAATAATTCACCTGCAAAATTTCATCGTAATCGGTTCATTCATTTTCGAGATGTGCTAACGGACAGACGGACAGACACCGCAAAATTAATAAACTCGCTAGGAGCTCGTTAATAAAGATATAACGTGTTAAATAGGCAACTTTTTATACACCCGTGGTAGCCAAAGATACTTGGAGAAATTCCAAAAAATTAGTAATCCTGTATCTATTCTCAAATTTTTAATCAAGGATGTTTAATTTATAAATATTCATTATTATAGGTGCCTATAAATTAACAGAGTTGCAAAAATCCATTGTTGTGTTTGTTTTCCAATGGTCATTATTTATTATAAGCAATAAAATATTATTTACTTAAAACTTAATATTATTTGGTTAGCAGTTATGTGCAACAACTAGGAGTTTTTATTTTATTAAGTACGTTTAGATTTGACCCAACTGCTTAAAGTAATTCAATTTTATTCTGGATTCATTGATATTCAGGTCATATTTTTCTCAGCAGCACAGAATGCTTTTAAAAACAACTCAAATAATTTTCTTTATTTCAGGATAGCCTTGAAGAATGAACTTTGCATTATACACATTTGTCTAGGAAGCAAACTAATAGAATGCTTTACATTACTACCTGAACAAGTGACTAAATCTTGAAATATCTTAAAAATGGAATTACTGGGGGCATTAATCATTATTGCTGCAATACCTGCTTCATACACTTTACTCCACGGACCTAATGTTTGCACGAGGCAAGAGACGTAAGTAAATGTTAGTTAACAACATGTTTGCTACATGAGAATTTGTAGATATACAACTACAGTTAGAATTTCGGAACAACAGCCGTACCAAGTACGTGAATACGTGTGGTGTTTTAATTTTCCACCGCGTTGCTCGAAATATAAAATAAAGTTTAAAACTGTTTACAAAACTCAAACTTTAACGAAAACGCGACCTGTAGAAGACTGCTGTAAGGGTTATACTAAAAGTAATACTGAACAAAGGTGTATTCCGGTATGCTCTGCAAATTGTTTGCATGGTAGTTGTGTAGCGCCAGAAACCTGCAAATGCGAAACAGGATATGGTGGACCATCGTGTAATATCTGTAAGTTACTAGTTGATTGAAACAAAGAAACGACAAATTTTTTTCAGCATGTCCCGTGGGATTGTGGGGCAAAGACTGCCAAGTATATTGCTTATGTCAAAACAATTCTACTTGTGACCCATTTAACGGGAACTGCTATTGTGACAGGGGCTGGACAGGAAAATATTGCGAAAGTAAATGTTTGTCAGGGACTTACGGGCAGGGTTGTATGGAAAAATGTAAATGTCTAAATGGAGATTGTGATCATATATCAGGGGAGTGTCAGTGTAATCCAGGTTGGACAGGAGCTCTGTAAGTTGTTATAGGTTCTCAAATGACTTTTGATTAATAAATGCGGTTTTTAGTTGTGAAATTTCGTGTCCAAGCGGAAAACACGGATACGAATGTAAATCGGAATGTCGTTGTCAGAATGGGGGATTGTGCGATCCAGAGTCTGGACAGTGCTCTTGTCAGCCCGGATGGATTGGTCCCGTTTGCGCCAATAGGTGTCCGTTTGGTTTTTGGGGGTCAAGTTGTAATAATACATGTGATTGTTATAACGGGGCTTCATGCCATCATGTAAATGGTGAATGTGAATGTCAACCTGGATTTACTGGCGATAGGGTAAATATGGCTCAATTCAAACGCTGTATTAATTCGAATTTTTAGTGTCTTGATATTTGCACTGAAGGTACCTTTGGTGATAATTGCACTCAAACTTGCAACTGCGAAAATGGAGCAAAATGCTCAAATGTGGACGGCAATTGCACTTGTTCGCAAGGCTGGAAAGGACAAAATTGCAGTGAGAGGATGTGTCCAGATGGACTGTGGGGACCTTCATGCCAAAATCCGTGTGAATGCAACATCGAAAACACTGACATGTAACAACCTAAAATCAGTGTGAACAAAAATTCAATCATTGTTTTACCAGGTGCCATTCATGGACAGGAGAATGTATTTGTAAGGCCGGTTGGAATAGTAAGGATTGCTCACGGCAATGTCCTCTTTTAACTTATGGAAAAGGATGTAGCGGTACTTGTGATTGCAAAAATAATGCTCAATGTTTTCCTGTTAATGGAACATGTATCTGTTCTCCAGGGTATAAAGGTTTGGATTGCAGCGAAGTTTGTCCTCCTGGAAGTTACGGTGAAGAATGCGCACAAAAATGTGATTGTATGTATGATTCATTCTTAGAGAATCATTAGACATAACAAAAATCATAGGTAAAAATGGAGCAAACTGTTCTTCAGAAACCGGCCAATGTTTGTGCACAGCTGGTTGGGTCGGGCAGTATTGTGATCGGCCCTGTAACGGCGAAACCTACGGTTTGCATTGCAATCAAAAGTGCACATGCTTAAATGGAGCAGCTTGTAATCCTCAAAATGGTAAGTGGAACACTTGATTTTGATGGTGTATTATGCATGTTCTTGTGTGATGTAGTAGTTTGCATGCTTTATTAGGTACCTGCACATGCAGTCCTGGATATACTGGTGAAAAATGTGAACATCATTGCGATAATGGTTGGTTTGGTCATAATTGTCAACAGGTTTGTCAGTGCAATGAAGATAATGCTATTGGTTGTGATCCTGTTACTGGAAAATGTGTGTGTAAATTAAGCTGGAAAGGTAAGTTTTTATTCGTGTGTTAATCATTGTTGTTTCTTTGTTTTTGGTTTTTGTCATCAACTGGCATTTGTGATATTTGCTCATTGCAGGCATCAAATGTGAAACACGATGCTCATCTGGAAAATATGGTCCAAGTTGTGATTTGGATTGTAATTGTAAAAATAACAGTTCCTGCGATCCCGATACAGGAAACTGTGTTTGTTCTCGTGGATGGCAAGGCATTGACTGCAGCCAACCATGTGACAAAGGTTTTTATGGAATTGACTGCAAAGAGGTGTGTCCTGTCGCATCTGGTGAGGTTGTTTATTTTGCATATCGTTCATTATATGGGCATTTTTGCAGATAACATCACTTGTGATCATATAACTGGGGAATACATTTGTCAACCTGGTTATATAGGTCTTACTTGTGAGCATCCCTGTCCGTCAGGCACATTTGGCAAAAACTGTAAAGAAAAGTGTGTGTGCAGGAATGGAGGTGATTGTCATCACGTCACAGGTAGTTAATTTGGCAATTTTCTTAAAAAAATAGATTTATTAAATTAAAATCCAAGGTGATTCTGTAATGAGATATTCCTCAGTTAGCATTTGGAGCATTCATATTTATAGTGGTATTCATTCATTTAATTATTCTATATCATTGTGTGCAAAGTTTTCGCCAAATAATTTAGTCAGGGTCCTTAATTAGGAATGTAAATATTTTTTCCATTCCTTTTCTATTGGTTTCTTCTGCATGAACCTATTTTGTCAATCATTTATTCTATGCGCTGTATTTGTAGAAAACCTACACTACCATACTTAGTACTTTCTGATGGGTCCCAAAAGGTACAGTTTACAAACCAATCCAATTAAATCCCATTATAGTGGCAGATAAAGTGAATTTGAAGCACCACATACTTAATGCAAACTTGATGATGCTCCATGCGGTCAAGTTTCGCATAATGTAGCTCTGCCCAGTTGAACTGCTTCCTCCTATTTTTGCTCCAGTACTCTTCTTTCATGTGACAACATTCAGAGACAAGCATACAGCTTCTGTTGTTAAGTTCTATTCATTGCATCCTGTAACAACTTACTTTACTTTGAAAAAGTGTATAATCTTCTTGGACAAATTCTCTTATAGTAGTTATGGGTGCATTTTCTTTTTCTGTGTTTCTGGTTTCTAGAGGTGTCTCACATCCCCTATTTCCAACATAGTGGATTTGCACATCAGACACCTACAAAGTGTCTGTAGGACCTTTAACCAATGTAATTACACAGATTTTGGTCCACCATACTATCATGACATAAATCAACTTTTGTTATATCTTTTCTTTTGCGAATTCTATATTACTTACTATTGGCATTTATTTGTGTAGGAGCTTGCCACTGTTTGCCTGGCTGGATGGGTAAAATCTGTTCAACTCCATGCCCTCAAGGCTACTATGGTTTTAATTGCACTCAACATTGCAAATGTCTAAACAATGGAATATGCAGAGGAAATGATGGTGTATGCAGATGTAAACCAGGCTGGACTGGAACGCAGTGCAGTGAAAGTAAGTTACCTCATTTAATGTGCCCTAATATTCTACTATGTATATTTGCAGTTTGTCCTGAAGGGTATTTTGGTGATCATTGCATGATTCCTTGTGAGTGTCCAAATGAAAACTTTGTCTGTCACGCAATTGAAGGATGTGTCTGTCGGCATGGATATACTGGCGACAGTTGTGATAGAAGCATTTTGTATGAACCAAGTACTCAACATGAAGAAACAGGATATGCCAGTGTTGTTGCCGGTATCATGGTAGCTTTAATGTTGGTAGGAGTTATAGTTGCACTTCTGTTTTATTATCGAAGAAGAGTGGCTAATCTCAAAACTCAAATTGTGCACGTGCAATACATTGCAGACGCTCAAGCTTTATCACCAGGTACAATTTGATAACTGCGGTGCTTTTGCTAAATATGTATATTTCTAGATCGGAATCATTTTGATAACCCAGTGTATTCGTACCAAACAGGGCCACGGAAGGACGATGATATTGGCCTACTAAATAATACCCATCATATTCGAAACAATTTGGTTAAGCAGAACAACACCAACCTAGAGAGGCAAAGGAGTGTAATTCCCGGTTCATCGACTGAAGATGATTTTAAAGGTGCCAATGAGATTAATAGTGCGGATTTTAATTCTTTGAAAAATCGTGATGCTGATGCCACAAATCCAAACATATACCACAGCATCGAAAAATTAGATCACGTCTATGACGAAATCAAACAAAAGGACGTAAAGGATATTGGTAAGCTAATAGCATATTTGGTAAGCATTTCGAATCGGTACTATGGATATTGCTATTTTAGAATTGGAGTATGATCGATTGGACTACAGTCGTCCCGTTAGCACATGGAAGCCTCAATATCAGAGGATGGTAAACAGATTAAATTTGGAACATCCCAAGGAGGCTACAGAGCCTGAAGATGTTTAAATCTCTAAAACGAAGAAATGTTCTGTGTTCTTTTAAAGCAGCTATTAGGTGTGAACTTTTTAAGTGTATGGTGCAAAGGAGTTGCTTTATTTGATCTTTGATATTCCCAAACAGTGAATTTTTATGTAGTGACCTTAATTTAGTACTAAAAACCCGATGCAATAATATGAAATGTGCCAACCCTGCAAGCAACTGCTCAAACATGTCTTCCTCTTCCAAAAGGTTTTGCAAAATATTCATGTTTTAAATTATTATACAATTGTGTACAATTGAGTATTTTATAATTTTATATTGTATATTATTTTGATGCAAGTGTACGAAAGCAATAATTAATTTGTAAGTGTTATTTATTTGTACATAGTACATGTATTTCGAAATCATTTGTATCTTTATAGTACTGATTTTATCCTCGATTTTATCACTCTTATTTTCCTATTATGGTTTTATTGTTACTTCATAATTGTCATTGTAACTTTAGGAGTATTTTATTATTGTAATTGTAGGATGTATATGAGTGCAAATTGTATTCATACCTTAAGTGTTCGAATAAGCCTTTAAATTGTATTTCTGTGATAAGGTATTGTGGTATGGTGTTTTATTCTGATTAATTTTACTCTTGTACATATCTCAAAATTAATAAATTTTAAGACTGAGTTTTGGTGTGACATATTAAAAAAATGCTGATTTAACAAGGGAGTGGAGTTATGGTATCCAAGCATTTGATTTCGGAAAAAAAAGAGTCAGGTGAATACCACAAAATGGACAAATTCAACTTATTCATTACTTTACAGAACCACAGGCAAAGCCCAATAACAGTTCTGAATACAACAATATTATGCTGTTTTATTACAAAAAAAAAATTAAAAAAATAAAGTTAAAAATCTCATTGTAGTGTACCTACCTATCCTATACGTCGTGAAAAGGCCTCGCATTTTATGATTACCTGTGGGTTTATTTTGAATAAACTGGAAAATGTGGTAAGTATTTTACGTTTATAGCTTTGCATGAAATGTACCTTTGGCAAACAGAATAACCTTACTCTTTGCCGTTGGCTTTGGATACTGTATGTTAGCCGCCTATAGATCCTTGCTAACGATTGGATTGGGGTGGTTGCGACTCCATAGGTTAAATAACCTCTCCACAAAAGATCATGTACCTACGAAAAACTAGCTTTAGCCATTCGCTCGAGAGCGACGGTTGTACCACTTGTTTTCTTATGCAAATGACAGCAATAAGAGAAACAGAAAAAAATGTACCGCGTGGATAATGGACTGTCGATTTACCAGATTTTCAGTTGAACTAGAAATAAGTTTTAAGAAAATACACATAAAACAACAAGTATAAATTGTGCACAACTCTTGTGCAGATAAAGCGCATTTTTTTAACCGAAATAGCTTTTGTTTTGACATCACCAATGGATATATTTCTTGCAAACGTCTCAATTGCCCTTTGTGAGTACCCTCTTCCGACAATCTGTTCTTGAGGTATAAGCGAATATACCCGATCACGATAAGAGGTCAAGGAGGAGGGCTATGGTTGGTAGAAATTAATTCCTTTCGTTTGGACTTTTCATTAGAGTACCTACCAGGTAAAAGTAGTCCCCCCCTCCCACTCCACCATGTACTTTGATAAGAGGACAGAAAGAAGGGCAGTAGTTGGTAGAAAACGGTTCCTTTCGCTGAGACCTTTAATTAGAATACAGTGAGATAAAATTAATTGTAACCCCCCCCTCCCAAACCAATTTATTTCGATGAGACCTTTCATTAGAATACCATGAAGGGTAGAACATTTTTTTTAATTCTTAAAAAATGCCCTAAAAACATATACGCATTTGTTATCGTTGTGTTTTTCTATGTTGGAGTAATTTTGGATGTCACATAGTAGCGTAAGTATGAAAGTACTTCTTAACATCAATTAGCCTTCTGGTGGTCGTTTATAATTTTGTATTGCTGTCTGTCTCTCTGTCCGTCTGTCTGTCCGACCGCCTGTCCGTCCGTCTGTCGGTGTGCATGCATTTCGCATTCAAAACCGTGACGTTTTTGTGCATAATACACATTCACGTTTTTGTATGCATGTACATGAACGTATCTATACAGGAACATTCTTGACGGGCGTCAGTTAAGAAAGATATGGAGATGGAGAGCCTTTGAAGATGAAACTAAACTGATAAGTAATTTTGTATCGGTTTGCTACAAGAAGTAATTAAAACATGGAATGTCTCGGAAACCGTTTGAAGCAGCTTTTGACATTTTGTTAATTAAAGGTCTCAGAAAACGGAAAACAACAGTGAAGACAAAAATGGGGCGTGCTATTTGAAAAAATGGAGTTACTGTTACGGAAATTTAACAATTTAAAAGTTTAGAGCTTTGACAAAGTGACATGGTCTCACTTTTTTACATGGTTACGCATATACTATACGAAAATTCGATCTTTCTTTAATAAAGCAGTGAAAACTGTTTTGCAATAACAAATTTTTAAGATTACCTCTGCAAATTCAATTTTTGACATAAAAACTTGTATATCGACGAAACCCTTGGAGCAAAGGGTCAACTATGGGGTATCGTTGTACTCCAAATTCGACGTAGAATCCGAAAATGTAGAAAAAAATAGATTGTCTCTATTTAAAATAACAAAGTTGAAGACTAATACTTCCTTTGCGAAAGTGGCGCTATCTTGAAAACATAGTTCAATTCATCATGTGCGAAAACCCTTAAGCAAAGAGAGTACTCTTTGCCTTAAGGGACATCAATTTAGTTTCATTTTCAAAGGTTCTCCATATCTTTCTAACTGACGCTCGTCAAGAATGACCCTGCATAATATATCTACGATTCGAGTTAGGACGTCGCCGTTCTTGGAAAAAATTCGAAGCTTGGAAACGGCACCGGAACTTTCGTAGCCGGTTTCTGAGATGAACGTCTTTTTGCAGTGGTGCGATTAAAAGTGAAACCCCGGCACCCGGTGTGGAAACGGCGCAACCCGGAGCGCCCCTCTCGAATTTGGCGTTTTTCGCATTTTCCAACTTTGAGGCCTTCTACCGGCTAAACCGTTAAAGTTAGAGCGAAACGTAAAATTGCGCGATCATAGATCTCGTCGAGAGGTCACTCTATCACCCGCCGATTCGGGGTCGGAAACGGCGTAGGTATACGTATACCTGCGGAAAAGTTTTCTCTTTCTACCGCTTCGAAAACTTTTTAAATGGCGCTTCGAGAACGAAGATTGCTGATCTAGTGGGACAGAATCTACCCCTTAAGGTGTGTTTTAAAATGATGGATGCGTGTGAAGATCTCGAGGATCGTTCGGTATTCAGTTGTATCGGATTTTTTAATTAGACCTTTTTGTTGATCTTTGCGTTGCAAATATATTTCACATATTGGAATGTAAAAGATGTAGGTATAGGTAATAAGTAGATTAAAATACTCTTGTCTATGAAAATAGCAGTGTGTTTTTCGTTTATAAATTCAATGATAATAGTATTCGTCAAATGATCAAATCTCTTACCTACCTACCTGATGGTATTGTAGTTACCACAAGAAAAAAAACTGTTGTATATGGTTGCTACGTAGGTAGGTATATGAATATTTTTTCGGCGACAATTTCTGATATTATAGTGCAATTGATTACTGAAGTGGATATATAAAACAGTCCCCGATTTACCTTCTTAGATTAATATTATCGCAAATGATAACAGTATATTTGTCAGCAATTATTTTGTATGATTGATTTCTCAAAGGTTTTTTAATTTGTTTCTGCTCAGACATGAAAGCAATAATTAGAATAATAATATTTTTTGTGACACTTCCCACTAATTTTTGTACGCTTTCGGGCCCCAACGTGTGTGTACGAAAACAGCCGTAAGTGCTACCAAAATATGTTAGCTTTATTAAGTTTTTCCTTAATGACTGAGAAAGTGAGAAGTAGACCTATTTGAGCAAACATATACTTTACCATGTTATTTTTACGGTTTACGTTTACGCACTGAACTATACCTATTTACTTCACCCATTCTGGAATACAGTGGGTACCAAGTTGTAGTATATTCATTCAATGCTATTAAGCAAAATATAGCTGATATGGCTGTATAAATTTAGAGGTACTGCGGTATGAACATTATGGAACGCACTGTGAATGAACGCAATGTTTACAGTAGAATACAATAATAACTGTTGATGCCTAAATTCATAGCAACATTATTTACATTTTTACACCTGGCGAAACACGCAAGCTGAGCATTGGGTCACATCAATCATAAGAAATGTTTGAATTGTTGTTGCGTATTTTCAGATTTTAGATATGAAGGTTTACTTAATATGTTGTCAATTCACAAGAACGAGTTTTTTAGATAGTGTTCTTGCAAAATAGTTGCATGAGATAAAACTTATCGGTCAAAATAACAATAATACGGTAATGACGTGGCGAGGAAGCTTACTAAAATCCGAAAACCGATGTTAAACCAAACTGATTTTGTCAAAGGAAACCCTGATGTAGGTATACCATTTTTTTCATTACTAGCGTCTGATGACATGATTATTAACCTTTTTTCCACTTGTAAAGTAGGCTTTCTCGGCATTTGTTTAAAGTGGTTAATAATTTTTTATTATTAACTAGTAGTCAATAATGAGAACTGTCACGCTGTCACTTTTAGAAAACACAACCCGAAATTTCGCTCAATGAACGTTTAGACAAGTTCTCTAAAACGAATAATTGCCACCATTCGCAATTTCCAGAGAAATTACATACCTAAAATTATCACATTTTGAAAAAATTCGAACGAAATTACTCTTTGAAAAATCTCAATGACAGAACAAAATACGGCCTGTTTGACTTGTACTTCCACGTACTTGATTGACATGTTAAATTAAGAAACAAACAATTCTGTCCAACCGTTAACTCTCTTATCAATATAATATGTTAATTTAGAGGATTTCAAGTGCTAGTAGTGAAAAAAATAGTATATATACCACGGTAGAGAAGTCTATTATTGCCTTCGCACCTTACACCCCTCGGCACAAGCGCCTCGAGATGTAATCTTGGTGCTCAGGCAATAATAGTGGACTTCTCTACCTTGATATATAATGTACTATTATGTCTAATAAGCGTAATTTAAGCTTTTGAAAAAATATACAACTGTTTTTGTTTTTTTAAATAATAAGTTTGGTTATTATTTCAAAAAATAGTTGGAAAAAACTGCCTACGCCACTGAAATATATCAAGATCAAGTTTCACCTTATCAATACGTTTTATATAACCATTGAATAATAATTCAGATTTAATATTCAATGATATAACCAAAATACGTGGAGAGACTGAAAATTAAATATTTTCAAACTCGACTTGTAGAACAAAAACTAAAGGTAGCCATGGCAAATTTAACATCGGATTCTTCTCCTTTGTCAAAAAGTGGGACGGCAAGTAGAAACCGAAAGTTAATATTTATAGTAACGGCGAAATTTATAAGAACAATTTGATTCCCGCTCTATATGATAAAAGTCATCTTTTCGGCGGAACTTGGAGGCGTTTTTTTTTAGATAATCGCGTTTTTTTGCCGATACCTCTGGGCGCGCAGAACTGCTGATTTAAATTCCATAGTCTAAAGTGTTTAATGTAATGATTCAATCATGAAAACTATGGCCATTATAGGTTCTTCAGGTCAAAATGTGTGTAAGCATCCCGTTCATACCGAGACAAGTTGTTATTTTCAAAAAGTGTCTACGAAAGAACTTTTAGAACCCGTTTGAGAACTCGCAAAGAGTGCCTCAACTAATTTATACGAATCTGGAAATATTGATGTGTGAGTCTTTTTGCAGATACACAGAAAAAATTAATGTGTCGTATTTAGAAGAATATGTCGCTCGAGAATATGTGTGGTGTTTCCATGTCCCACCTCGATGTACAAAGAATACAGTAAAACACAGAATGAGGGTGCATGAAGGGTATTTATACAAGTTTAGACCCGTGGAAGAGTGCTGTACGGGATACAAGAAAAGTTCCGACGGAGAAACTTGTATACCAGTTTGTTCACTCTGCACGCACGGCGTGTGCGTAGCTCCGAACGTTTGTCAGTGTGAATCTGGTTACGGAGGAACTTCTTGCGAACACTGTAAATGGTAAATCGACGACTAAATTTAAAACTTTTGTCGCCTTTTTAGCATGTCCTTTAAACCTCTGGGGAGATCAATGCCAATACGACTGTGAATGCAAAAACAATTCCACATGCGATGTATCGAATGGAAAGTGCAGCTGTTTGGATGGATGGAGAGGGCCACACTGTGATCTCAAATGTAGGCCCGGGAGGTTTGGAAAACAATGTACCCAACGATGTAACTGCAAAACTGACGAATGCGATCATATATCAGGGCAATGTATTTGTAGTGGTGGTGCAGATTTGTAAGTTAAGTGTTCCGAATTATGTGCTGATTGCTTGCTGCAGATGTAACACTGAGAATGTGACGCAAAAAATACCCTGTTACTGTCAAAATGGTGGAACATGTGATGAAAAAACCAATGTCTGCTCGTGTACCGCAGGGTGGGAAGGAGATTTATGTGAAAATCCTTGCACTAACGGTCATTGGGGTACAAATTGCACCACAAGTTGTCATTGTTACAACGATGCATACTGTCATCATATTTCGGGTAAATGTATTTGCAAACCTGGCTTTACGGGACACAGGGTAAATTGACTAAGCCAAGGGATAATTACCACTTCGATTTGTTTAGTGTCGCAATATTTGCCCGAGAGGAAGGTATGGAATGAATTGCAATAGGAAATGTGATTGCAATAATGGGGGTTTATGTTCGCCTATAGATGGAAAATGTAATTGCCCTGAAAAATGGACTGGCGTCAATTGTGATATTGATATTTGTAGCTTGATGGATGACCAACCACATTGTTATAATATTTTTACTCAAGAGGAATGTAGAAGAATTTGTGGTAAGCTAAAATCAATCATTACCTACTCATATTATTATAAAATAGAATCTTTGGAATATTTGGATCGACAGGGCGTCTGTACCTGCTCCCATGAAAACTTCATCTGTAATGAATCAAAAGAATGCGTTTGTAAGGATGGATATGGAGGTGCTAATTGTGACATTACACCTAGCACCGATACTATAATACTGTTAGTAAGTGGGGGCTTGACAGGTTTCGTGTTAATGACAGCATTGCTCATGGTGTGTGTCATCGTTATAATCAAGCGCCGAAGAAAAACTAAAAACGCCCCTGAATTAGAGTATCAATTGAACAACTTGTATGGTTTTCCGAATAATATTGACCAAACGTTTAGTAGAAACAAGGAATCTGAACCTAATTACTACCATAGTATGTAAATATACATATAGCAACTTTTTTAATGTTTATTTAACTTATAGTGCGCACATACGCGAAGGGGCACGTTTATGAAGAAATCGGCGAAGGTAAGGATCCTTCACAAATAATTTTTTAATCTTCAATTTTTCGATCACTAGAAATAATTTACTATGCAGAATTTAGCGTCATAATGCGCGTTTCTGTTTTAGGGCAATCATTACCTTACCAGACTCTTGATTTTTGGGCTGCGAAAAATCCGAGAAATGACATGTATCAACCGGTGCCAAATGCAAATCCGAAAATCCATAACGATATAATAAAAACTGTCAAGCGCAATAATATCAACTTCGAGTAGAATCATGCTGTAGAGTTTAGACTGTAGACTATAAAATATTTATTGTTGTTATACTTGATCTGCACCTCAAATGCTTACCTATATCATATACCTACAGGAAACTAATTTTACCAAATCTCACAAACGTCACCTTAAGGCTTTTAAGGTTACCATTAGATGCGAGAGAGCCAGTGGTGGAATATCTAAGGACCTATTTTCAACATCCTACTTTAAATACACCTCTAGAAGCAGTAGCAGCTACTGCATGGTGCTCATTCAAAATACAGTTTTATATCCCTCGCAATCCCTCTGGTCACGAAGCCGAACTTTCCAACCTCATCTCTCAACTAACCCCTCCTTTCATAATTCAACGCTCACAACTCTCTATGGGGTTCGCGAAAATCATTGAAAATGTATATATAAACACTTCGACCTTTGTCGGCGGGGTTGACACACACTTTAACATCTCATGCCGAAGATTCTGTGCGATTGATCTCAGCCTCTGCTATCTGCAAATGGCTCCCGACTTACATAAAACCCCTTAGATTTTCAAAAAGAAGGTTCCGTAACGGTAAAAATACGTTCTAATGCAATCAGCGTAAAGAATAAAACGCAATTATCAGTACAAGATTTTCAGCAATGTTTTTAAAGTTACGTAACGTCATAGTGTCTATTCTATTCTTTACACTAAGGTAACGTATACGCCCGTATATGTGCGTATTTAATTATCAAATTGTAATTTCTATATACGCTAATACGCCGAATAAAAACTACTCTTAAACATATACCTACACAATATACCTGCGTATACCTACCCTCCAATACAGCACTGATTATAACTGACAAAGCCGAGAAACCAACTAAAAATGTAACGAACTGGAGCGAACAGCCAATGCCAACTGGGACGCTTTTGAATCCAAGGTAGAAAATCAAACCGATCAACTAAATTTTCCAAAAAACATCGACGCAGCCGTCTTCGGATTTACTTCCTGTATCATTCCTGCTGCTGAGCAATTCGTGGGGTAAACTACAATATCTCCTTCTCGGAAAATTGTCCCTTGGTGAAAAGAGAGTTGCAAATTGGCTATAGGTACGAGAGGGCAAAAGGGCCTTAAACAGATACAGAAGTGAGCAGAACAACAAACGAACATGATTTCATTGAGTTTAAAAAGTATAGAGCCAAGGCCAGGAGAACGGTAAAGCAGAGCAAAAGAGACAGGTGGAATAACTACAACTCTTCCATAACTTCCGAAAGTCCTCCTCATCAAGTTTGGACCAAAATCCAGCAAATGCAAGGGAACCTTTTGGTTCTTCACAGAAATTGTTCAACAATCATCTCAAACAGATTCTAGCTCCTAGCTTCTTTCTTTCAAGATAAATCTAAAAACACAAAGTCTATATATCCTCATACACCAACATCTCTTGCTGTTCCCAGGCACCTAACGCCAAATAAGAACGCTGCTTTCTCTTTCCAAGAACTATCTGAAGCTCTATCGTCTATTAAAGATTCTGGCGCAGATCCTGATGATATTCCCTCCATATTCTTCAAAAATCTACCAATAGTGTCAACAAACCATTGGAACTCTATAACCTGATCTGGACCAACAGAGTCTTTCCAAAGTCATGCAATCCACTATCCTTCCCATAGTAGCCCAATCTTGGAACTGTTTGAAATTATGGATTCTACAGGCCTCATTCTATAAGAAAATTTGTTTTCCGGGTCGATCTGAGACAATTTTTTTTTCGGGCCTCAAAAAAAGGCAGTGTATAACCTTCCTTTTTTACCAAAAATCGACTACACCAAAATTTCTCGGGAAAACACTTTCTCTTATTAATTTTGGTGCGTAGAATCCAAAACAATTCGTACTTTTTCGATCAGACTTCTCAATCAAAAGTTATGGACCAGAAACCAATTTCGAAAGAAAATTCAAAGGGCTGTAACTTTTGAACTAGTAGCCCAATCTTGGAACTGTTTGAAATTATGGATTCTACAGGCCACATTCTATAAGAAAAAATTTTTTCCGGGTCGATCTGAGACAATTTTTTTTTCGGGGCTCAAAAAAAGGCAGTGTATAACCTTCCTTTTTTACCAAAAATGGACTACACCAAAATTTCTCGGGAAAACACTTTTTCTTATTAATTTTGGTGCGTAGAATCCAAAACAATTCGTACTTTTTCGATTGGACTTCTCAATCAAAAGTTATGGCCTAGAAACCAATTTCGAAAGGAAATTCAAAGGGCTGTAACTTTTGAACTAGTAGCCCAATCTTGGAACTGTTTGAAATTATGGATTCTACAGGCCACATTCTATAAGAAAATTTTTTCCGGGTCATTCAGAGACAATTTTTTTTTCGGGCCTCAAAAAAGGCAGTGTACAACCTTCCTTTTTTACCAAAAATCGACTACACCAAAATTTCTCGGGAAAACACTTTTTCTTATTAATTTTGGTGCGTAGAATCCACAACAATTCGTACTTTTTCGATTAGACTTCTCAATCAAAAGTTACAGACTAGAAACAAATTTCGAAAGAAAATTCAAAGGGCTGTAACTTTTGAACTAGTAGCCCAATCTTGGAACTGTTTGAAATTATGGATTCTACAGGCCACATTCTATAAGAAAATGTTTTTTCCCGGTCGATCTCAGACAATTTTTTTTCCGGCCTCAAAAAAAGGCAGTACTTTTAAGTTATTCAAATATTTGAGAACAATTTAGAAATGTTTAGGGAAAGTTTCCATTGTCACAAAATCAAATACAAAAATCCGATACAACTGAATACCGAACGATCCTGGAGTGAAACTTTTTGACCCGATAGTCTACGTAACTTAAAAACAATAGGGACCTTTCTTATATCCCTAAGACCATGGCCCGTATGAATAAATTTATTCAATAGGCATTGAGCTTGTATAAATTTTATACGCTCAGATGCTTCTAATAAAATCAAATTGGAATGACGTGTCACCGAATATAGGTTGTGCATTCGCAGTACAAAATGTGTGGAAGGATGTTGAAAACGAACTTAGCTGGACTAACTAATTTTTTCGAACAAAAACTGTTAATGCGCTTTTTGTAAATCGTAATTCGTATACGATTACTTTTTTAACTTGTTTAGTTTCTGTTCATAATGGCGCTTGTAGAACAACGACTCGTAAAGATACCAGTAGATATAGTTCACCGATTAAGCATTTATATCGTACATATAAAATAATTATTAATGATACATAACGGTACACAATAAATATTTACCTTATTATGAATCATCTAGAGCTAGTAGCTCTCAAATCCTGTGTAGTAACTAGGAAGATTGTGCAAATAAATGTTTGCACGTGAAAATCCGGTGGCTAACTCACAGTGGAGGTATAAGGAAGCATTGCATGAAAGTAAAATACTGAAATCATTTTATCTGTAGTAATAATAATTTGGTATTATCCACTGGACTATATGGTTTATTGTGGGGTGTTAAGGATACACTTAAATAAAAATGAAATTAACATTTAATACAAAAATTGATATCAGTTAACTGTACATGTTTAAACTGCAAATTACAAAATATTCAAATTCAACTTTTATTGTAATTAAAAGAAGTATTTCACTCAGTCTCTTATAAGATATTCATTTCACACGCAATCAATATAATTTACACTACAAAATTATTACAGTATAAATACAAGATTCGTATATTTACTAAATTTACATAACTAATACACTACACTTAAAAATTACTTGACTTGCCGGATAAATTTGAGCGATATAAATAGTATGTAAAATTATTACAAAAGTGATTGATCCTAAACATACTACTCAAGCGCACGGGTTTCGGTCAATGTTAACGCCAAACAGTACATTCGTATTATTATATTAACAATTGCAAATAGTGCAGCCGTGTAATAAGTTAATAAATAAAAGTTCTACTTACAGGGTATGTGTTATGGTTGTAATACATTGCTGTTAATGCTGTTTTGCGTGTTTAAAATATCAATTTTATTATTACGTACCTATATCGTCCTAATTATATTGAATAATTCGCGGCACACAATGTCTCCCACACTAAGTAACGATCCTTGCACTATTTGAGCATTAACTATTGTTTCTGACCAGAATAATATCATCTATTGACCTTCACTGTCACTATCGCTTTTATCTGAAATGAAGAGGTAAGGTACTGCCTAAAATAATTGATAAATACCTTTTTTTCCTGTGTACGCATGTCGTTTTAATCTATCATATAAGTCATCTTTGGTTCCATAAATACTGGCATTCGATCTGGCCAAACTATTCATTTTCCCATTAACACCATTGTGAAGACCTTCTTTCATGTACGTTTCATTGTAAAAGTTCGGCATTTCCCATCCGTCTTCTTCATCATCATAGTAATGGGCGTAGGTGGAATGATGGCTGGGTGCTATGCTTTCAGCGTAGGGTGTCGGAGCACCATAGTAGAAGTTCACTTGCGAGCCATTCTGGTCGGTAGCGGGTGTTAACAGTTTTTTCGGTTCCTTTCTGTGGTTTGCCCTGCGTCAAATTGTGTAATTTTTTTGTAAAAGTAAGTTGGTCTTATAAACTTACCTTGCACAAATCATCCATATTAGTAATACAATAAATATAATTAAGATAACTGTTGCAGCAATTCCACCGGCAATGTACGCAAACTCTGATTTTTCAGCACAATGTTTGCCAGTAAAGCTTCCAACGCATCGACATGTCGGTTGTCCACGCGGATCCTTAATGCACGATCCCTCATTAAGACAATAATTGTCGCACACGTCCGTACATGTTTTACCAGTACCATTAAATCCAGGCTTACACTCACATTTGAAGTCGCTTGTTTCTGGGATAAGCAAACAGTAAGCATTGGCATCGCAGTGCATTTCGGTACCGTGCATTTCACAGGGATTAGTGCATTCATCTTTGGAAGTCTGAAAAATACGTTTACTAGAAGATTTGGTCAATAAGGGTTAATACATACGGATGCAATCCCTTTCGTGCTTTGATTGGGAGGACATGGCAAGCATTGCGTTTGTTGAGAATTGGGTTGGTACCAGCCCTTCTTGCACGGAATGCAACTATTAATGGTGCCATTTAAGTAGTGACCTATAATATTATTTAGTAAAATAAGTGTGGATAATGGGAATTCGTTATTTACCAGGTGCACAAACTGGCAAGGAACACTCTTCAATAGTAGATGAACCAACTTTTGGCGTAGTTCTGGTTACAGGACAGCTTTGACAAATCGGTTGGACACCTTGCATTCTGTACGTTCCACGGGGGCAAGGTTCACATTTACCTTCCAAACCAAGTTGCATTCCACTGCCGCATTCATCTCTGCACTCCTTAAGGGATACTGCTTCGCCAGTACGCGTTGTTTTTCCAAGTCCGCAGATTTTGCACGAAAACGCTCCTTCGTCAGACTGATAAAAACCATGACCACAACTTCGACATAACCCAGAGTCATGGTCAAAATATTTCCCGGCAGGACAACGTTCTTTGCAATCTGCCGCACTTCGTGCTCCGGTTCCGACAGTGACTCCAGGTCGACCCGCTATAACCGGACACGAGGAACACTGCGATTGACCGGTTTCACTTTGGTACGTTCCCAATGGACAGGAGATACACGTTTTAGATCCGCGATCGTAGTAGGTACCAAGAGCACAGGGCACTAAGAGTTTATTGTAAACCAAAACTATTTAATCGTCCACCGCATTACTTACCACAATCGGGTGCTATTACAACTTGTCCCAAAGGACACGCATAATCTGATTCCAATGAGAGTGAAGCCGGATCAGGTACTGTGTTAGGTAAAATTTCATGAACATCAAATTGATCGTCTTCCAATATTAATTTCTCCAACAATCGTTTTACATAAGATCTTTCATTTGTATTTGAATTTAAGATAGGATCACTGAAATTATTGTTAGAATTTAGTGCGACGTTGATAAGTTTCTAGGAAAGTTATTTTTTAGGAATCATGCAAAAGGTATTTCTTACTTGATAGACGGGAAGGAGATCTCTACGTTGTAGGTGTCACTTGACTGTTGGTGTCCTTGGCGTGCAGTTCTACAATACATAGTACGAAGGTATCATGCTATCTAAGTAACACTATCTACTATCATGCAAATAACCAAATCAGAATAAGAGCCTAAGATACCTAAACCAAATCTTGTCTACTCTCTAAGCTATGTAAATACTCTTTTTTTAAACTAAGATTAGTGATAGTAAAGCAGAAATTGTGCCACAAAATATAGTTAAAATTTACCTTTCAATCGGAACTCTGGCATTAACAACATATTTTCCACCCTCTTCCACCTTTGGAGCTTGCCTGGTTGATCTACTCATCCTGTGGTCGCATTTGACGTCAATATTAAGCTCCTTACATTCTCGAGTGCCCTCGACCGAAAACGAGCAGAAATTCCAATCTCTGTTCAGAGCATTGATCGCGTTTCGGACTTTCTGCTTCAGAACGCCTTGGCCTGCTTCATTACAGAGTACCGACGTGGGGAAGAGCATAGCTATTTTAAATACCCTTTGAGCAGGTTTAGAGACTGAAAAAGTTAATAATGGCAATCGGTTTATTTCAAAGAGCAATTCGTACCAGCGCATGCCGGGTAAACCATCGGTAGTAGTGGGTTAGTTGTGGGTCGCCAGAATCCCTCAGCTCCGCATGTGTAAAATTTAGGTACATCCTGTGAAAATCGAAGGCCTTGGTTGCAAGAGATTTCGCACACTTTAAATTGTCCCCCCGCGCCCCAGTCTTTGCAAGTTTGAACACCTCCAATTGGGTCTTCCAATTCCGGACAGAATTCGGCTGATGCGGATTAGAAATAGAAATGACAAAGATAACACCAGTGAAAACTTACATAATAAAGATACTTTAAATGCGCACGTTGCGGTGTTACCAGCAGCGTCGTAGGCGACATAGGCAATTTGGTAAATACCCCACAAAAGGGTTTGTCCCGGCCGGTGGCCATTCTTCTCCTGGACTTTTACCACATCAACGTTATCGCTGAAATGAGGTTCATCCCAGGAAACAATAGCAGATCCGTTCTTCGCGATTACCCATAAGTCCCCAGGACAATACTCCACTCTTGGAGGAATCTAAAATAAGAGAATTAGAATTTTCTTCCTGGATTTTAAGTTTACTTTGTCAGTAGATAACTCTTCACATTTTGCACCGGAATAACCAGGAGGACAATTACGTTGTCCGCAATGCGACGGAACAATACGCTCCACGCCCCCTACTGTATCTTCATAACCTGCCCAAGTGAGAATTAGGTCCCGATATAATACAGGTTCAGTGCGACAGTCACGGACTTGTTTTTGAACTTCGTTGGTGACATCCAGTGCGCGATTCCAAACCTGCACTTTTGTAAGGTGACCTTGAAAACCTGACTCTGTGTATGTCTTCGAATTTTCCGTTCGCGGTTTTCCTAACGTGACCCATGCGCTAAAATTTTAGTTTATGACAAAATCAAAAGAATAAGATTGTATTACTAGTCTGGCAATTTTCTACCACCTCCATATCCATCAACTTTACTAGCAATTAAGCCTTCAGTAATCAATTTCAATTCGCCACCATTATCGCCATCCCAGACGATTGCAATGTGATGCCATTGCGCGTCATTAATCGTGGTGTACTCCCTGTAGCTTAAGTAAACATCCTGTAACTCTGGGAAAAGAGAGATTTGAACACCATTAGAATGTGCTTGAACCATGACCCGTCGATTAGTTGGTATGTGCTTGGTACTAAAATATGTTCGTCAGAATCCCAGTGTAAGATTTCCTCTATACATACCCAGTGCTGTATAATGTAAAGAATATTCCATTGTCATCTCGTTGGGTAAATTGGACCCACATTGCAATAGTTAAGCTAGATTTACCTCCGCTGTAAAATGGAATAATTTGAGCTGCCGAACTCCGCGTGGCGTCGCTGAAGTACAAATCGTAATCAACAGTAATTGCTGAAATACAAAATTAACATAACTAATTTTCTTTAAAAGCTCCTTTTACTTTTTCGACAGTCTTCTCCAGTTAAATTGAACGGACATTGACAATAAAATTTGCCAATTAAATCGATGCAGGTGGCACTTGGTGGACAGGAATTTTCCTTGCAATCAATGATATCTTCTTCGCAATACTTTCCTGTATAGCCAGCAGGGCACACACACTTAAAACCTGCGCCGTGGTCGGTGCATGTGGCGCCATTCTTGCAAGCTCCAAGGGAGCAGGCGTCATACTCGTACTGACATCCGACCCCAGTGAAAGTTGTAGGGCACGAGCAATTAAGACCCGAACCAAAATCTTGACATTTTCCTCCGTGCATACAAGGGTTGCCAATGCAACGTTCGGGTGCTGTTTCACACTGCTTTCCATCCGTTCCAGATGGGCATCTAAATACAAAATCTAGTCAATTTATGTCAATTTATCCCATGCGGGAAAAAATAGTAAAGGAATTTTGAATGATTTATATTCTGAATTTTTTTGGGGTGCTAAAATCTGGGGTTAGATACCAGCATTCCGTGATATAATAATAATAAAATAAGTAAAAATCCCGTATTTGGTAATTTTCTGCATATACTGAGAAACTATCCGCTTTACGTAAAAAACTTGCATACTCAAAATAAAGATTCATGAAATTTCCTATAAATTTTACGGCATAAGGTTTGTTTCTGATGAGCCGTTTTAGTGGAGCGAAATCGGGCCAAAAATGTGACAAAAATTTTTTTCGAGGTATAACAAGATCAGACCTAGTAGAGTATGTAGATATTGTAATTCTGCATCCGAAATGGCGTTTTACGACATTTTCCGGTGGTCATGACATTTTTTATAGTCAAAAAACCACTCAAAAGTGTCTTCATAAAAATTTATGTTTTTAGAGATTTACCCCGGAATATCTCGGCTCCCGCATGAGATATTGTTATAATTGTTTCAGTTCTATAATGCCAAATAGTAAGCGCTTCTAACTATGCCTATTACACCGAAAACATGATATAACAACATGCTCATAATTGCCATCAAAGTCGATAAATCGATTATTGAGAAGCGTAAACTTCACTCTGCGAGAAACTTTTTTATTATTTGAGGAATGTCTATGTCGTACGAATTGTAGCTGATAGCATTGACTAATACTCCCCCCATAGACAGCTCATCAATGTAGACAAATAAAATGGTGTTTTTTGATATAAGCACCAGAGTGCGCCAATGACGAATAAATTGTGTATAATACTAGGCACACGTTGAGAATTTAAATTTTACTTCTTTGTCGAATACGTAAAACGGTAGGTCTTTGATTAACACAATAAGCTATACATTGACTGTATGGAAGAGATAAGATAATCGCGAATTAGAGATTTATTGTCGGCAGTATTTGTCGGCTTCTTTTTTATTATTTTAAAGGCGGACTTTTTTTTATTTTGCGAAATTATAAATTTCTCTTGAACTCTATTCCTAGTTTAGGTTTAGTCTCAATCTTTCAACCAGCTGTATGCTATTTCGTTGTGACTGATTTGAATTACAATGTCAGGAAATAAATGTGTATATGCTAAATGTATTCGTTCCCATATAAAGACACTGAAAGATGTGAAAAGTGGAAATTAAGAACAGGTGAGCTAAAACGCCCGACAACGATATATTTTCTTTCCTTTTATTGGAACCGCGGGAGTTTTTTTGGTATTCCGTATTGGCATTGAATAAGTCCTATGATTACTTATTCAATGGTATTGGCCATTTTTAAAAAATTAAGTTTTATTCGTCTAAATAAAATGTTCCACCCTTATAAAAAATTAATTGTTTCAAAAATTATTGTACTCGGCCAACTTCACGCAGTGGCGAACTTTTTCATAAACGATTTTTATATAAGAAATATTCGCCGCTCTACGTGAGTTGATATCGCGTGTAGTTTTGAAATAACTCATTTTCTCTCACGGTAAGTATACAAAATGTTATTTTAACGGTTCTAACGGCTTAATTTCTGCATGATAAACTTCATTTATGAAAAAGTCCGTGATTCTCTGAAGTTGGCGGGATACTATAATTTCTGAAATAACTACAAAATTCAAGACTTAATGTGTCTATAGGAAACCCAGAACTGTTGAACTTTGAACCAGGGGAATTAAAATCGAAATTTTTGTGTGAAGAACATTTTTCAAGAAATAGCTTTGTCAATGAATCGAAACACCGATTGATACATAATGCAGGTCCACAGAAATTTTATTGTGCAATTTGCAATTTTATTGTTTTTGCACAAGAAAACTGTGGAAATCTAGAGAAATTCGGATGGAAGCAGATAGGAAGAAACGTATGAAAAGACCCGGCAAATTAACAATTTTACGCCATGAATGAAATAAAAATGCATAAATTTCTTTCACTTGTTTTATTTACCGACTGCACATCACTCGACTTGCAAACACCGACATATGATACCTATTGAGATAACGCGCCGAAGAAATAAGTTGACCTTCAAAATAATAATATACAATTAGGTTCTATGTTGCATTGGGCAACTTTAGTTGTGGTATCTAAAAGAATAATTGTATCGCGGCGACACCTGTTACTTATATCAATAATAAATTTTACTGACGACGTTATTATGTTTGAAGTAGCTGTCTATGGGGGGAGTATTAGTCAATGCTGATAGTCACCAAAAGTTTTTGGTGGAAGAATTTTAGTGATAGGCCTTACCGTTTTCGAGTAAATGATATTTCTATATGCAGCTCGTGCGCGCCCGTGGTCCGCCTAGCAGCGCACTTGCTTGGCTGCTATCGGCGCCGGCCGGATAGCGGGCTTGTCACCTGTAGTGGAGCGAAATCATGCCAAAAACTATAATGCCAAATGGAAAGCGCAGATGTTCTGCATATTATATTGAAAACATAATGTAACTTCATTATCAGAAAAAAATACGAAAGTCGATAAATCAATTATTGTGCAACATAAACTTCACTACGGGAAACTGCGGGAAATTTTTTTGAATTATTGGAAGTTCGTTTTTTTGCTTCGGGACTGCTTCCACAGTAAAATGATATCCAAATATTCTTTTCCATGGACCCAAAACCTCCCATTTTATCTAGTATTGGTTTGCATTGTTTGCAGTGGTACCACACATTTAATTGGTATATGGATCTAGAACTTTACTGAGTGTATTGTTGACATAACACATTTGTCTAAATCGAAAGTTTACAAGTACACACCTTAAAAAAATAATGTAAGAAAGCACCATTACAGAAGTTCCGAAGTTCCGACGATTGTTTATTAGTTGTTTTTGCTAAATGCAATCTTAGGTGATTCAATGTTGTAATATTTTTATTTTTATTCCGGTAAACCAGTATAGTACGAGCAAAGAGTACTCTTTGATACGAGTATATATCGTATTACTAATTCTAAGGCTTCTTTTTGTAACAGTTCAACTAATTTGGGCATAAGTCTTTTGAAGTAGCAATATTGGATGTTGTACATCAACCGCAATTTTCTCGCGTATTTTGAATAAGGACATTCGTTGTGTCACAACCCGGTTGGCCATGAATTCCCAACAGGCAGGCGGTTCAAAATTTCATTCAATAAAATTCTAGATGTACATGGTACGGTGAAAATGAATGCGGGAGTTATTCATAATAACCGGTGACTGTGATAATTGAAGTAGGAAAATTTGTTGAACAGCCTCCAGAATGATTTTTTTTTAAATTCAATATCTTCGTAGTTTCCTAAATGGCAGTAGTTTCCCTTCCCCTAAAGTTTAAAAAGGAAATGAACCCTAAATTTATCACAATGACATTAATTACTTTCACCGTAACACATACTTTTACCAATTAAACGTGTGGTACCGCAGGAAACAATGCAAACTAACACTCGACAACATCGAAGATGTTGGATGGTCCATATAAAGTAATATTTGGATACCTGTCCATCTTACTGTGCTCACAGAAACTGTAACACTAGAAGTACTGCCAACAATAATTCAAAAAATTTTCCCGCAGAGTGAAGTTTATGTTGCACAATAATTGATTTATCGACTTTCGTATTTTTTTCTGATAGGTAATGTAGTTACATTATGTTTTCAATATAATATGCAGAACAGCTGCGCTTTCCATTTGGCATTATAGTTTTTGGCATGATTTCGCTCCACTACAGGTGACAAGCCGGCTATCCGGCCGGCGCAGATAGCAGCCAAGCAAGTGCGCTGCTAGGCGGACCGCGGACGCGCATGAGCTGCATATAGAAATATCATTTACTCGAAAACGGTAAGACCTATCACTAAAATTCTTTCACCAAAAACTTTTGGTGACTATCAGCTACAATTCGTACGATACATGTATAGACATTCCATAAAAAAGTTTCTCGCAGAGTGAAGTTTACGCTTCTCAATAATCGATTTATCGACTTTGATGGCAATTATGAGCATGTTTTCGATGTAATAGGCATAGTTAGAAGCGCTTACTATTTGGCATTATAGAACTGAAACAATTGTAACAATATCTCGTGCGGGAGCCGAGATATTCCGGGGTAAATCTCTAAAAACATAAATTTTTATGAAGACACTTTTGAGTGGTTTTTTGACTATAAAAAATGTCATGACCACCGGAAAATGTCGTAAAACACCATTTCGGATGCAGAATTACAATATCTACATACTCTACTAGGTCTGATCTTGTTATACCTTCAAAAAATTTTTTCCCATTTCTAGACGACTTTTTTGCCCGATTTCGCTCCACTATTTAGGCATTAGTTGAAAATTGATCGATGTACAATTTTTCGACATTTGAAAGTACAAAAAATAAAGCAGTTTCCATTTGAAAAAATCAACTCTTTAACGATTGAAGTCATTAAAATTGACCATTACTTTTAAAACATTCTGTATAGAAGGGCGAAATTTAAATCATCAAAGTTGCTTGATAATATTCGATACACCATGAAAAACTATGTTCATATTTTCAGATTTAAATTTATTAATGAGAGCCTGAATTGAATACTTTTAGGTAAAGGTTTGCGTGAAACGGCCTGTATATCATATAGGAATGATAAGTATGCGAGATGCATTCGTATCAGCAGCGGCAAAAACACCATTCACTTAAAAACTGAAACATTGAAGGGATACTTACACGCAAAAATAGTCTAAGAAAAGATTAATACACTTGGCGTCATTCTGGCAAGGGCGATTTTGACATGTTCCTATATCGTGCTCGCAATTTTCCCCTGTCCAGCCAGGTGGACAAACGCAATGGTAAGATCCCACCTCATCCATGCACGAGCCACCGTTCAAACAAGGTTGCGATTTGCAATCGTCAATATTTTCCTATAAGTCTTGTTACAAAGAGATTTATTCTTTAAATAATCGAGCTTACCTCACAAACTGTGCCTGAAAAACCTTCCCTACACATACACATGAACTTGTTGTCCATATCAATACATTTTTCAGTTCCAACCGGATTGCAAGGGTCGCTTAGGCACTCATCAATTTCGGCTTCACATTGAAGACCTACGAATCCAGGCCTGCATTTGCAAGCGAAACCATCGACTTGGTCTTTGCATGTTGCACCATTTTGGCACGGTTCGGAAGAGCAGTAGTCAATTGTATGTTGGCAACGCTTACCGGTGTAGCCTGGTTCACATTTACAAGTAAAATCATCTATAAGGTCAATACATTGTCCATCGTTTTCGCACGGTTCGTTTACACAGTCGTTAATGTTAGACTCGCAATTTTCGCCTAAAATATACAAAAATTACCTACCGTCTAAATCAAATTCTTCTATAGCTTACCGGTCCATCCAGGGTAGCACACGCATTCGTGGTAAAATAGTTTATCAGCACATATGCCATTTTTACATGGCTTGCGACTACAAAGATCAATTTTCTGTTGACATCGTTTTCCGGTAAACCCGGATGGGCAATTACAGTTAAAATCGGCGACGAGATCTGTACAATTGGAACCCAAAAGGCACGGTTTTTCCGAACAATCATCGGTGTTTATTTCGCAATGCTGCCCTTCCCATCCTGGTAAGCATTCGCACATATACCTACCTTGTTGTAAGGCAATGCAAGTTGCACCATTGTTGCATGGGTTACCATTCGCGGTACATGGATCTATCTGTAAAGCCGCGTAAATAAATAAGTTAGACAGTTACCAACCCACCGTAACATCACAATCTATTCCCGTATAGCCAGATCTGCATAAGCATGTGTAGTTGTTATAACCAGGTTCGTCTTTGCACATTGCTCTTTCTGGACATGTGTTGTTTCTACAGTCTGACCTTTCTTCCTGGCAGTTTATTCCTGAATAACCGGGAGCGCATTGGCATCTGTAACCTTGTGGCAGATCAATACAGGAACCGCCGTTGTAGCAGGGTTGTGACGAGCACTCATCTATGTCGATCTCACATCGTCGTCCAGAAAATCCGGCAGGGCAGAAACATTGTATGTCGTGACCTGTAAGAGCTAGCTAGCAAAATGATGACAAATCTTTTTTAAATACCTAAAGGAACGCATAATCCGCCATGTTGACAAGCGGTTTCTGTACACTGCACAGTTCCACACTCCTCCCGACCAGTTGCTCCTGGTGCTTCAGTCAACATGTTTGTTGGACATTCTGAGCATGTCGTTTGCCCGCTTTGGGATTGGTAGAAATTTCTGGGACACAAAGTGCAAGGGGCCAAACCGGTTGGCGAATAATAACCGGGATTGCACTTTGGTCGGCAAAGATCTTTTCGTGGAGAAGACGGTTGGTAAGTATAGCTATTGGCGGGACAAGCTTGGCAATCTTTAAACCCGCCAGCCGGAGGTTCGCCCGTAAAGCTGTTCCGAGGACACTCCAAACATGGTACCAAGCCAGTTGGTGAGTAAGTGCCATAACCACAAACCGGTATGCAATCATGAACGCTTTTGGAACCTTCTTCTCTTGTGTATCGACCAGTTGGACACTGTATGCAAGAGCCTTGACGATCTTGATTTTGATAGAAACCTCGAGGACAGTATGTGCATTCTTTTTGCTTCTCTCCGGCAAATGTTCCAGCAGGACAGTGCACTATAAAAATCAATTGTAGGTATCAAGTAAACGTTTATCAATATACTTACAGCATCTAGGTACATCGTTTGTGTCCATATTTAGTACTTCGCCTATATTGCAAGTGAACCCACGAGCGATTGTGGATTTTAGTGCTTTTAATGGTGGACATTGATTGCCAATGGACGATATGTTCAGTAAAGGTTCAATAACCGCGCTAGCATAAGGAACAGATAAATCGAAGATTAGGTTCAATGTTGAACCACACAAGTCGTATAGCTGAGGCTGACGAATAGCAGGTAAAATAGCGACAATATAGTCGATCTTAACAACATTTTCTTCAATGAGTGATGGAACGGATTTTATAAATGAAACGCTCATGTCGACGTTTACCGCTGAGCACCGTTGGGATAAAATCGCATTTAAGTTGGTGTAATACTGCGTGACTAAATCGGCGTATTGAGTTAGACAGGCTCTCGCCACAGCGCCATTAGCTCGGTAATTGACAGTGGCAGTTACGTGATAGTCAGCCTGTTCGGTATCTAAAAAATGAGTTGTGAGGCACTCTTGTGTCATTGTTACGTATCTTACTTTCAGAGACGCAGTCAGGAACAACCGCTGTGGGTTTCCAGTGCAACTTTGTACATGTGAATGTTTTTACCGGCTCTCCATCGGTAAATCGGTACCCAGGGTTACACGTTGCTATACATTGTAATCCCTTATCTCCTGGCAAGCAGTTTAAGGCGCCGTTAACAGGAGGTGATAATTCCCAATCCACACAAGGAGATGGTTGTATTAGAACCTGAAAGTAACACAATTAACCCCTGAACAGATCTTTCGCGTTTTGGAAACGAAATTGACGCCAAAAGTACTCTAGATTCTTAAGCACAGTTACAGTATCTATTCAAATATTGATCGTTTTTATGTGATGATGATTTTTTCAAATCCGTATAGATCTTTAAAGCAAGTGTTGCAAGAAGTGGGCGCATATTTTGCACTGTGATCATTTCAAGCGAAAAGACTCTCTAGAACCGTAGCGTAGCCTATTATGGGTGCATAGGGAACAAACAAAAATTTTTTTGGAAAATGTTAATTTGGAATTAATCGGAGTTATAAATAGCGCACTAACCACCAACTTTTGAAAATGAAATGGTCGTGATTTTTGAAAGTAATTTTTATCAGGTTACCCTATTAAAAAATGTCTTTAGATGTGAGCTGCAATTACTTATGTCAATAATCATGTGCTAACTTTGTAGATACCCTTGAAACTCACTCACTCACCGCATAAATACTGAGGATACTATTACTGACAAAGTTATTCATTTAGGGAATAAATTTATTAGGAAGTGGACATCTCGACTCTTAATATCAACTCATGAGGTAGAAAGAACCACAGCTTGATTGTTTTGCAAGTAGCGCCCTGAGCTTGCACACATGAAAACGACTTACTTGAAAGTGACAAGTTGCACGATTTCCATATTTGTCACTGGCAATAACCGTAACATTTTCAAATGATCCAACAGCGATAGTGGCCCTGTCGGGTTTAAACTGCAAGTGCACCTCCCCAGACGCGTCGGAAGCTTCAATTCTTCTACGTGTTTCATTAAAGTTCACCGAATAACTTTCCTGCTGATCGACTAATTCGATAACGTAGCTTTGAGGACAACTCAACATAGGCGGTGTGTTATCTGCAAAGCAATCATTAGCTTTAAGCATACCTAAATAAAGAATCTTACCAGGTACAGTTATGTTTATTTCGCAGATTGCGACATTCCCGTCATAGTCAAATGCTACGTATTTAACTACAAGATCTTCAAAGACATAGGAAGGTGTATGGAAATTTTGAGGTTTCACTTCCAACCGAGCTATTGTTCCAGAATTGTCAACAGCGCTGGGTTCGGTGAAGTTTACAGGAAGTAAACCTCCATTAGCGTCTTTTTGCACCAAAATAGGTTGCAGGGGACAGTTTTGGAATACGGGTGTTTCGTTATCTGAAATCAAATTAAGTATTCCGTAACCAAATAGCTTCCCTTAGTACTCACCAACACACGGAGAGTATCCGTTATCATATCCCAAAAGTGGCTCCACTGACGGTTCATCACAACCCATCAGTTCAAATTTTAGGCAAGCGTTATCCATGTAGCTCACAATTCCCAATATAACAAAGCGAGCTTGAACATATTTTGGTAGGGAGATCATAGCTAGCTCTCCATAATTTCCAGGATCTCTCATTGTCAAGTTAAAATTGGGGAAATAAACGACATAATTCTCATTTTCGGCCTGTTTATAGAAGAATCTGATTTCAGTGGGTCGCCCAACAATATCGTTGGTCACTACTCCTTTTACAAGAATGGCTTTGACGCGATACACTTTTCCCAAATCGACACTAACGTAAGTGAATGCTTCTTGTTTACCGCACCAACCAGTTACCGAGTTTAACCTTACATTGCGGGCTTCGTAATTGCGCCTGCAAAATAATTGCGGATAGAAATACGTTCACAATTTATTTACTGAGCGCATACCTCTCTGTAGTTGCGTTAATAGCTGAATCTGGAATTTTTCCAGACGCAAGACCCAACGGCCTGACGACTTTACATTCTGGCTCACGAATACATGTTAGTGGGCGTGGATTTATGAGAATATATCCCGGCCTGTTGCAACCGAAGTAAACCTCTGAACCTTGCTCATAACTCCGGGCAATTTGGTGACCGTCACTAGGACGACCTGGGTCATCGCAAACCGGTCCTTCGCACCGTAGATCTCCAAAGTCCCAGACTCCATTTGCCTGGCAGCGAACGATATTGTCATGTTTGCTACTTTGCCCAGCTAACTTAAATGTATTTTGGCAACCGAAATAGAAGGAGCTTTGGTATCTGGTATCGGCATATTGGCCATATTCAGCTCCTGGGGTTGGTTGAGGAACGCCACAATTAACTTTGGGGCATGAAGGTTGAGCACCACTGAGCCAATAGTCTGGCAGTCCCTAAAACTTGTTTGATAAAAACTGCTTTGTTAAGGACATCCCTTACTGGTTTAGGATCATAGACACACTGTCTGAACCCGGCTGTTGTAGTTTTACGAAGATAGCGTCCACTGCTTCCACAAATGAGCGTTACATTATCACGAAATGGAACTAAGACGCTAGATTCATCGGCTCGAATTACCGCTAACCCTTCGTTTTTCAGGTCTGGCAATGAGACGCATTGCGCATCTAAAAATTGTTTAATTAACAAAGTGGGTCTAACAGCGAAAGAGAGAATTCGTACAGTGACATTCTGGTGCAGATCCATTCCAGGCGCCTGTTGAAGTACAAAGTAAGGAAGATGAGCCTGACATTATGTATCCAAAGTTGCATTGGAACCTGACCAAGTCTCCAAAGTGATAATTATCCTAAAAATTTGTAATGTTAACCAGGAATGATGAAGTTTGCGATGTTCACCTTAGTTGACAGTAGTAATCCATTTTCGGGCGCGCTCAGACTGGGGCACATTACTGGCACGCAAGATTTTTTTACTTGGAATACATCTCCATCGCGTAATCCATTCTCAGAGGACTCAATGCTGTAGCCGGCTGTACCGTTTTGTGTATACAATTCGTAGCCAACATTGCAACTGCAAGAAAAGTCACCGGGTGTGTTAGAACATTTTTGGTCACACCCTCCATTGTTATCCGTGCATTCGTTTATATCTGCACACTCTAATCTGCTGCAACCCATAATTTCCAACTTCACGCACGGTGCTCCGACGTAATCCTGAATCTTAAACCGAATGTATTGCGCTTCGATGGGCACCGGTAAATTTAATACGGACAGAGTGGGTTCTAATATTCTAAATTCAACAGCAGTTCCATCTGGATTTCGATAGTCTTTGAAAATGTCGGTTAGATCGTCCGTATATTGAATTCTTACAGCAGAAGTAAACGCTAGCGTTCCATCGGAACGTTGTACGCTCATTGTACGGAAACCCCTAATAATCATTGGCGCCCTCAAATCCACTAAAACCCAGTTAGTACCAGGCTCTGCGGTACTACCGCACCAACCACTCCCACTGTTTAATCTTACCATCTGTAATGTCACGTTAACGACTGACAAACAAACATAAGTTTATACGTACCCCTTTATTATATCCACTTTCGGAACCCGACACCGTTATGGAATCGTCAGGAATTCCACCGTTAATTAGACCCAAATCGCCTACAGGCCTGCATTCAACGGTAGGTGTAAACCCTTTACGACATTTGCAGGAAAAAGACCCCGCTGTGTTTGCGCATTCTGTTGAAGCAACATCGCACTGACTGTTTACGCACTCATTGATATCTTCACATTTTGGAGGGCTATTAAATTGCTGATTTTCGTCGCAACGGATTACACCGTTTCCAATTAATTTGTAGCCTTTAAAACATTGAACTCTTGCCTCGTCGTTAAAGAAGTAATTTCTAGACGTGTCGGTAATAAACCCGTTCTTTATTTCTGGGAATGTAGGACATCTTGAGCCTAAGTGGGACATACGTTATGATGGAAGCATGAGTATTGAAATCACTTACGGGAACAAGTGGGAACATCACCAGACCACGTTCCATTACTCATGCAAAGAATAACCGGATGTCCGGTACGAATATACCCTGGTTCGCATTCATACCTAACGATCGTACCATAACTTCGCCCTAATCCGTTGAGTACTGTGATATTAGCGTGGGGTACCTCGGGCAGCGCAGCACATTGAGACGCTACAATTTAAGTTGATGTCAAACGGGGAAAAAGTGATATATACACTAACCTAGGCACAGTGGTTTCTTTTCCCAACGGCCATCAGCGAGACAAGAGATTTTTTCAATGGGATGACCAGTTGGGAATGCGAAACCGGCGTAACATTGATACATGGCTTCTCCTTTGTAGGTCACATTACTGGATCCGATAGAAAAACCGTTATCAATCTGCGGTACGGGACCACAGTACACCTCCTGACAATTTGGAATGTAACTGATGGACCAATTGCCTCCGGGTAAACATTGGGTGGTTAATCGCGATCGCCCGGTTGCAAATTCTTGGCCGGCGGGACAATTGAAAGTGATGATGGTACCAAAAGCTGTATCCCTACTTGAAGCTAGCGCGCTCTTCCCAGGTTGCAGTGATGGACAGTCTGCTGAAAACGTGGCGCTCCATCCTTTATCGCTGTGCAGGGCATCTGTCGCGAAACGAATCAGCATTTCGCCACTTGATGCGGTTAAAGTAATCTTTGGAAGAGAGTTTTGGGAAAAGCCTTCGCCCGAATGCAATCTTAAACCACTGGTTGTTGATCCATCGTACACCTGATCAGAATGCGTTAATAACTCACAAAATTTTGATGTAAAATACGCACTTGAACAAAATCGGATTTATCAACGTTAAAATTGTTGAAATTTAAAGACAAAGGGCCACCTGACGGATTCTTAACTTTATACAAACATTCTTGATTGTTTGGGTAATTGGTTAAACCGAAAGCTGGAGATGTCACAGTTCCATTTCTGGCGACTATTGTGGCTCTGCAACCTAATAAGATCTTAGTGTATTGTGTAAACTGGGACCGTCAAACCTTGTGCGTATCGAATTCTAAATCCTCTCTTTGAATCGCCCAGGCTAGTTTTAAAGTAAACGTATAAATGATTCTTTGTCGAAATTATAACCCTATTGTTACTCTTCAAGTCACCGGTTAGTCGAGCAATTGGTTGATTCTTTGGCGATTCCCCATCTCTGACCAAGATGTAATCCCGACCCAAATCTAAGTCTAGATCGTCGACCTAAAAATGCAATGTTTGATTTTTCTTCCATTTTCTAATGGTCCGTTACCTCCAACGTAATTATTCTTCCAACCTGAGCCGTGATTATGTATAGACATTCTAAGCCCCCAGGATATTGCTCGGGGTAACCTGGAGATGTTAGCACATTCGGTTGGGTAGCGGCTCTTAACATGCCCCCACACGCCTGAGGTTCAGTTTTCCATGAAGCTCTAAATCCCTTCCTTTCAACCGAAGCATCGGTGCTGAACTTAATTATCATAAAGTTGGATGCGGAGACAAATGATCGATTGGTTAGATCCTGTTTGCCGGAAAGTGTGGCTAAGTTCACGGAGGTATCTTCGGTCCGTCCGCCCACAAGGATTTGAACGGTATCGAAACTTTTTTCTGTTTCAAATTCTTGGAACTGAAAACACAGGTTGGAGTTGCTGCACGAGTAAAAGGCGCGGATTTACCTGTAGTAGTATATTGTGACCTTGGGGACCTTCTAAAGTCCACTTGCAGTTCGTTAAGGGTGAATATTTATGTGGATAATAGGGACTTTCCACTACATCGCCGCTGCTCGCCATATAAAAGTTACAGTTTGACGTACAGTCGATTTCATCCGACGAATCTCCGCAATCGTCCTGTTTGTCGCATCGAAAGGCTTGGTTTATACAGTTTCCGTTTGAACAATGAAAACTTCCTAAAGGACACGCTTTCGTCTTGCACATAAATGGCATTAAACTCTCGCAGGTTGTCAGCTCCCATGATTGAGCTTCGTCGGAAATAGCGACGTTGACGCATTCGCCAGCTTTTGGATTTGGCTGATTAAGGGACCAGAAGCCTAAAATTGCAGAAGTCACGTATAATTCCTTCGCAAACCTAACCAATTTGGGAAGGCACTTAACGGTAGAATAGTTTAACCAAACAATCGATATCTAATTAAAATTCCATAGTGGTAGTGATCTTCTTAACGGAATAGTTAAGTGAAATCGTTCCAACGTGAATAATTTTGATATCGCGGTGAAGTTTGGAAATGTTTACTCCTGTCTTACCTGAATATTGCGACACCAAGGTACCAGCCGCGGATTCTAACGTGTTTGTTCTAAGATCATCGAGTGATGCTAACCCTAACCAATAGTGATTGCTTCCTCTCCGATCTAATGGTACTGATGAGGACGCTATCAACGACGTTAAATTGTTTTCCGTGTAAGATTCCACTACTATTAAGTCACTTCCATATCTGCAAATGAAAACCAAAATTTTTCTTAACGGATTTTACTCAAACTACAGGTATTAGTGTAGTACGCCTGTTGCCTGTTGGTGGTTGTGTATTTGCGATATAGATAGGTACTTGGTAAGAGTGTTAACCTCATTTCTGAAACCAGTACTGAAGTTCTTGACCTTTATAAACGTACCTATGCAAGTATTAGTTTCTGTCTGTTGCGTTTTACTTAATCTGTAAAGATTAGTCATGAAGCTCTGATAAACGTAAAGCTCACATTTTTGAAAAGAACTAGCGATGACATCATTTCGACTTTCTAAAAGTAAAAATGGCATTCCACGTGAGTTGAATTTCGTAAGTAGGTTATGAGTATGACAAATTGATCAGAAATTAACGGTAAAATCGTATAATACAACTTACCTGTTCGATGGATTAAATAATTTGGTTAACAAATACCTCACAGACCAAGTCCGTTTCTAGCATGTATTAAGCAATCGCAATTAAAATCGTCAATGAACTTGTCGTAATGAATAATAAAAGAAAATTAGCCGGTTATGTATTATTTACGGTTTCTTGATCTCAACAAACATAGGTAATTTAAATTATTACCGGTAATGTCGTGTCATAAAATTTTAGTATAAATTGTAACACTGACCTTCTGCACAATTCCGCCGCCTTTTCCCATGAATGCCTAATATTAAAAAATTTATAACAATGTAGTTCTCTAAGTTCCCAACCTGAAACAAAAAGACACAATTTTAGATAGAGGATAAAAATAATTTGGGAGAATCGTTAATAACTAACTATGGAATTATTACAACTCATTGACCCAAAATCCAAGGTATTCATGTATTCAAATGTGCCACGAATGTGAGTTATGTAATTACGATTATATATGAATGGGATAGTGTATCATCCAATTCAGTTTATAGTAAATAGGTACGTGTAACCCAGGCTGATCATCATAATAGAAACAGAGATCGGAACTTTGTATATAAAAGAGTTACTGTTATAACACATGATACGATTTTGTTATTGCTTATTAAACTAAAAATCAGCAATCACACAATTAAAATAACTAACAACAATAATGTCAATAATGAAAAACCGAGACTACTTGGCGCATTTCTCGAGTTTAAATAGGGCGATAAACGGTATATGGCAGAGCTATGTAGAATAATTTCGTTTTTATTATACCTGAATCACAATCTCCGTTTTAAACACTCAAATGCGTGCGAAAAAGGGCCTTTAAAACACACGTGCTTTAAAGTTGCTAAGTAACGATACTTCAAGTATGACTTTTGAAACTGTCATCTGGATGAAATAAAAAATCCTCTTAGGTCGCTTTCTGTAAATGCAGAACATTTCTTTGGCTTTTGTACCTATCCTTTGGTTGAAGCTTTCACAAACGCGCGTAATTTAGGGTATGCTTCCAAATCTGTTCCACTTTTTAATCGCAGCATTGCTTTAAAGTTTTGAATGAATGCACCAAAATATAGAAGATTTAAATACCTTTGACATTTCCTTCATATATGCCAGCATTATGGATGCATTTAAGACTGTATTCGTAAGTAACTTCCTATTCATCCATGGAAACAACTTTTCATATTCTTTATAATAGGCTTTACTGGAGTTGGATTTTACACCTACCAACGTTTGTTTAGATTTTACAACAATCGATTTAATGGACGGTGTATTATCTTTTTCAACGGAAATCGTTTTAATTCACAAAGACGATGATTTTTATAAGCAAACGTCAAGTGACATTTCCATGGCAATCGTGAAATTACGAACACCCAGCCCACTTAATTAGACATGTATTCGAGTATAACGTCAATATGACTTCATTGTATTTCCTATTTTTAAATTATACTGCAGGTATAATAAAAAATACTATAAGATACACGTGTATAATTGGTCTTTAAAGCACTTGCAACGTTAAAGGCACTCCGCTTTGCGTCGTGCCCTTAAACTCGTTGCGCGTGCTTTAAAGACTTGATTATACACTTGTATCTTAATATACTATTTCGACATACATAATATGCCATAATGGCGCCGTTATGTTACAATACTATTATAGTCGTGATTAAGTTCTTCAATCTCAAAATTCGTAGTTATCGGGGATTTTCCTCTGAAGATTAATAAATAATTGATTGGTCAAGTGATCTTGTAAATCTAATCTTTGAATATAACCTAATTTTATATTCAAAGATCTAATGCATTTCATTATTTTGCAATGCGTACTTCTTATTTTACTCAAAACAAGGGATTTTTAAAGTCCCAATGTAAAAATAACCAGCTTTCGAATTCTACCTGGTCTTTATAGGCGCCTCGCTCTCCAGATATTTAGCTTTGCCAGTCTTTTTGCCTTGCGAAATGGTCTACCTCTATCCGACCGTCTAAGTTTGGAAGTGTGAACTTTATCGGTAGGGTGTTCATTTTTATATGTAAGGATAATTATTGGTTAAATTGGGGCAGAGTTGCTAAATATGAACCAGGCTTCATTGTCCTCCATTTTCTGGTGCAAGTGAGCTATTGAGGCAGAAGACACATTTTTAGAAGGATTTTTTAGTAGGAAGCAAAACTTAGAAAAGGGTCTATTTCGAGACCTTACTGTTTGTCCATCCATGTGTTTGTTTTGTTCACATCAAGTGTGCTGATGGTGTAATCCTAAACTTCAGCAGTTGAAGATTTGCTAAAAGATGTTACGGAAGTGGGTAGATCAATCAATCAATACTCTTCTTTTCTTGATGACTCGAAAAGACAGTACCAATTATAATCCGAGCGAGTAGGACAAATTATCTTGCTACCTGCACCATTGCGCAACAAACAAACGCACAGTTTTGTTTTGGCAAGGCAAAATGGAGTAAGAAACATTTTTTTTAGTTCAGACATTACAGCTATAAGCGCAAACGGATGCACAAAGAACATTGTGTCATCTCTAGGCCAAAATAATAGTATATTGAAAGACAAGTGTTACAATGCGACCTATTGTGGCACGAGTGGCGACGCGAAGCGTAGCCACGATTGTCCGCAAGATAGGAGTATTACAATAAAGCATTGTAACACGCGTTTTTCATACTATTTTTTCTATTTCGGTGCTTTAATTTAATTAAAAAAATCATTATCAGAAACTATAGGGAACATTAGAACTAACATGTTTTATGTTGGAAACACTTTTTATGCCGTTAAGTTTTAGGTTGGCAGCGTAGTAAGACTGACATTTTGAAGTTCAAACATGGAAGTACCCAACGAAGTACCTACTTGTACTATCTAGTAACTGCCAACTTAAGAGATGAGTTACCAAAAAAAACGACTATAATCACTGTCTTTGTCTTTGTACAACGCGGCCGAGTTTCAGGGTACGCGATTGTGTGGCACGTCTTTGCTGCGCTACTCACGGGCACAACTGCTAAGACGCCATTTTTTAAAAGAACGCCTGTGTGAGCTTTCCGCGCAAAATTTGTCTTGCCTTGTATGGTGGCGCTTCAGAATCGCGCCGTGTGATGGGGTCGCGCTACCAGTTCGCTAATAGTAGCGCAGACGTACAACAGCACCGCTCCGTGTGAAGTCGTCGATATAAAACAATGTTTCGCTAATCTACAGCGCATCAAAAATGGTACTTAAGAAGGGGCTCTTAAAATGTTCTATAAAGCTTTTGAATGTTCTATATTCCATTGCTGTAAAAATCACACATTAGTCGCCATTTCCATAACCAATCGATTACAAAGCTCGAGAAAAGCCTTAAGACAAACTAAAACGCTCAGGGTTTTCAAAGTTCCAAAAAGGACATAAACCTATAACAAAAGGTACTGGGAACCTCTGGAGGGCACTAGGAGATAGTGGGTATAGAGACACTGGTGCAAACATCAGTCAGTAATCAGTAAATAAGCCTTAAAATACCCGCCTTTGTGCGGTGTAAGTATGTCAGGGCCACTTATTAAGCGGCAGAGCGAAACGATGCATGCTTGATAGGGGAGTCGATGGTGTCCGTCTGTCCGTGAACACGATAACTGTCAAACGCTTGGACCGATTTGGTTCAAACTTTGCACAGTTGACCTAGGTATATGCCACATGTAATAAGCCTATTGAAAATGGGTCAAATCCAATGACCCCGTAGGGTCACAACGAAGTGCTCTGTCGCTTTTTTAGATGCTCTTTAGTGGTTTATTTTACCCTCGCCCGGCCGTATCTGGAATGAATTCCAGGGATGCAGTGTGTCTACCCCTACGCTTCTTAGTCACCTACTGTTACCTCAAGGTACTCAATTTAAGAGGGTGGACCCCACGGACGAGAAGGTGTCTAACATGGCCTGACGGGACCGGGAATGGATCTCTCATCCTCTCAGTTTGTAGTCGAGTTTCCAAACAATTCGTCCCCATAACCTAAACCTAGGTGCATTTTATAAGTTAGTGGGATACAGAAAAAGTATCTATTTCAAAGCAGTGTGAGAAAACTAGCATTTTTTGTGAACTAATTTAGACCACAACCCGTCCAGGCATTTTCGGACATCGAAACCTCAATAATAGTAAAATTAAATTACAGCCGGAATTACATCAGTTGCCAGTTTGCGACAAGGTAATAAAGCGGATACCTGAACAATTTAAGTTTCACTTTGTAGGTGAATCAATTTATCGCAGAACCATGTAAGACGTGTGCATACACGTTAAAATATGCGCGTAAAAATTTTACAATGACTAGGATTGGCACACTAAACCATAACGGCATATTTTGTTGATTAAATAAAACGGTATTAATGCTACTTACACATAAATTAGTGTTTAACGTATTTGCAAATTCTTAACCTACTTATGCAGTAGGTAATGAAAAACTGGTTAAAATGCACAAAAGAATGCAAACTGGTTTAAACGAAAACTATATAAGATTACAAAATCAACATTTATCGGCCTACACACGTTTCCCTAAGTCTTTTTTTAAGAAACCTTCAAAATGGTATTTTAATCGCCGGTGTATCATCTTGAATGAATTTCCAAAAGCATGTCTTTGACCCATATATTATATATAGGTAAACTGTTATAGGAAAGCTATATTAACTCCGTTTGAAAATGAACATTAACCAACGGATGAATAAACTGTGAAGGTATGCAGGTAATGGAATAGATTGATTCCGTTTCGATTACATGAATGTTTTAAACAATATTGCATAAGTAGGTAGTTCTCTCGTTCGGTTGAATAAATTAGAAATTAAAGTACTTTGAGTCTGATGTATAATTTATATAAGATAAAAAAGTATAAATATTAAATACACAATTGTTAACTGAAGTTTTTTTTATTAATTCACTCTTTGACTTTGGAAATACAAATACGAAATACAATACGATACTAAGTTTGAAACAGGGCTTGTTAAAGAAATTAAAAAATGTAAGAAGGCAGAATAATCTTGTTGGAAAAGGCACTCCTGCAATTTTGGGACGCAAGCAAGCAGATGATGCTATAGCAACTTCTTCTATATCTCAGCTGTAAGGATATAGTGGCTGATAGCCTAACAGTAAGCCTTTGCACATAAAATTTAACAGTATTCATCTCGTCACATATTCATCGCCTATTGTGCGTACTAAAACAAAGTCGGAATAATTGATCGTAGGAGATGACGTGATGCACATTAAATACTGCATTGCAGCTCAATTTGGAATCTTACACTTGTCTATTATACTGGTCGATCAAGAATTGAAACGATTTGTTTTCAAAATCTTATATTCGTTATTGTTATGTCCAT